CCCACGACAGTAAATTGCGTTCCTCGCTTAATGCATCTCATCTCGACTCCCGAGTAATAAGATTTGCGGTTTGATGGACGCATGGCAAACGCTCTGAAGGTAAATATCCCCGTCACAGAAGTCTCGTCGTGACGCCATGGCGTGGCGACCTCCGCGACTCGCCGCACGAATTCCACACGGGGGGGGGGGGGATCATCATCACAATGACAGCAGTGGCAAAGGCACAACGGCAGTATAAATGGGGGGGGGGGGACCCCTCAAAATCTCGAGCCGGTGCTGTCTTTATCAAAGCAGTGGGGGCCGTGGCAAACAGAACACACCTGCTTCGTTTTCAAGACCTCTCTAACATAGCCCGCAACTCCCCCCCCCTCCACTTCCCCTCACCACGCACCTCCCCGTCCCTTGATCATTCAGCCAGCAGTAATAAGCAACAGCTGGCACATACCCCAACAACGTCTTAAGAATAACATGGCCAGCTCTGCCGATGAGCGATCTTTGCCCCGTCTATGTGCGTTTGATGCGTGGTGCGTCTGCCCTGGCCTCTCTCTCCGCCGTGTTCTGGCATGTCTCTGTGTTTTGTACTTTTCTTCTTGTTTTTAAAGGGTGTGTGTATGGTTTCCATTCCGTCTATTGTCTGTTTGTCGGGAGTGGTTGTGTCGTGGTTTGCACGCTGTGCCAGGAACCCGGCCGCCCAAGTTCGATTCCCGCTCACACCCACCAACACTCGTGACGATTATCTGAACCGGTCCTGGGCCTCCCCGAGGTCGACTCGGCCTCAAATGAGTATCTCGCGCAATGTGTAAACGTTGCCACTGGGAAGACAAAGGCGGCTGGGCATGATGCTGCCCACCTACCCGCTTGTGTGCTGTGCCAGCCTTCATTGGTGGTACTCGCTAACAGCACTTGCCCCAACAGTCTGTCTATCGATGTGTCTGCGTGCCTATCATTTGGCCTCTGCTGTATGTGCCTGTTCTGTTGGCCTGTCTATGTACAAGTGTGTGTCCATCGGTTTTGTCAGACTGAGTTCAATCGCGCTTCCTGGATCAATAACATCAACCTGCTTGGTTGAAATGTTTCATAGTAGCGTAAGTTTCACGATGTTGGATCTCTAAGGATATTGATAATCATTCCTGTAATCACGTAGTGGCTCTTTACTTGAGCATAGCATGTCAGTAACACACAGAAATAATTTGTCCTACTTTCTTTATTTGGGAGAAACGCTCATACTATACCGCGGTGTCAGATGTACTTTGAGCGAACAGACGTATTCATCCACGCTGGGATGATGGTGACAGTGAAATGACTCCTTCCATGAATAAGCAAAGCTTTCTCAGAGTAGCGATAATTACCTTCAAAATGACAACCATGTATATTATCCTGATGTTTTTGAAATTGTTGTGGAACTACGTGGTAGTTGTCAGGGCAAGACTGGTCCCTGCCATAGAGATGTGGAATTTCCACAACCGCTTCGGAGAACCATGAATGTAGATGAACGGTGCCCTTTCGGTCAGTAGATTTCGGTGCCTTTCTGACACGTCTACTGTTTGTCATTTCAACCGCGGGCCATTGCGTCGTCGTCGTCGTCCTTAACCAAACCACCTCTACTCGCTTTGCCAGCGCGCAAATCGTAGCACGATTCGAGGTCCCAGCCTTTTGGCGGCGCGTCACAGTTTCCGCCTCTCTGCAGCGCCGTGTAAGGCAAGCGGCGGCAAGGATTCCGTGCTCGGGCCCTCCCAATCGCTCGTCCGCAAACAGGTGTCTGTGGACGGTTTTTTGGCAGTACATTAATCTTGTGCTCAAAAGCAGCTGGAGAATGTTTTGGGGCCTGTAATGGGCCGCTGGAGAGGGCTGTGGACACAGAACGGTGGGGTGAAAATGAAAGGAAAACGTATCTTCTTGGTTCTTTTGGTTAAAGTCACGTAGAAGGGAAATAATAAAATAATAATGAAACATAATAAAATACAATTCTCACGACGTTTCGACCACAACGCAAGCAGCAGTCCTCAGGTGAAGAACATGTCTGTCAGAAAGACAGGTGAAAAACAGGTCTGTCGGAAAGACCGTATGTTTTATTTGTATTATTTTATTGCTTCCCTTCTACGTGACTTTACCGAAAGAACCAAGTAGATGAATCCCTGCAGTCACGAAAGCATTAAATCGAAAAGGAAAACGTATCGTCGATATCATCAGCTGACACAGTCATCGTCATTTTTTGTTGTCTTTAAAGTGCTTGCCACAAATGAACCACAATACCTCGCCGATCTCGTCAAGGAGTATAAACCATCACGCGAGCTGCGGTCAACCTCACAGCAGCGGCTTTTGGCTGGCCATCGAACAGAGACGGTCACCGCATCGCGCTCTTTCAGATGCGCTTCTGTGGCCGTCTGGAACGCTCTTCCTTCCGATATTAGGAGGCCACTGGAGCTATGCACTTTTAAATTTAGATTGAAAACTAATTTCTTTAGAACTGCTTTTTGTGTTTAGTTTGTTGTCCTTTCCCTGCGCCTCTGATTAGCAGAGTTGGCTACATAGGGTACAAAATAATTTCAACATACATACTGATTGGACTACACTGGTTCAGTAAACTAATGTTCCATCTGCCTAATCTGGCCTTACCACTCAGGTTTTTGCCCGTTGAATTATTTCGAGCAGGTTACCTGCCACGTGTCTCCATGTCCTTGTCCCTCATGCTGTCCCATCTCGTTTCCCCACGTTGCTTCTGAGAAGTTGCATTTCACCCGCTTATATCCTACTCATCTGACTGCTACATTTGGCGTTTGGTGCAGCAGTGTGGGTTGCGGTAGTTGGTGGTGGTTGCGTGGGTAGGAGTGGTTGATGCTCGGTGGTGGTGGTTGGATGGGCTGTGGTTTGGTAGTGGTGGATGGGTGGGTTATGTTTGGTGGTAGGTGGTCCTGTTATGTTGGTTGTGCTTTGCGGTGCTAGTAAATGGTGGCGGTTAGATGGGTTGTGGTTTGTGCCGCTGGATGGTGGTGGTTGGGGTTGGCGGTGATTGGTGGCAGTGGTTATGTGAGTTGTTGGGGGTGACGGTTTTTATTGGTAATTAGCTGGGTTGTGGTTGTTGGCAGTATGTGGTGGTGGTGTTGGTTGGGTGGGGTGATGTGTAAATTGGCACAGGCCAGGCGTGTTTTGTTCTTTCGTGTTTTCCGGACTTTCCCTCGGACTCTGCTGCTGTTGCTCCTGCATCTCTCGGCGACTGTCGCTGTCCGAACTGGTCGCTGTTTCGTTTCTGTGTCGGCCGTGTCCCTCTGCCGTTGAGTGCTTGCGTCGTTTTTTTCTCTTTTTATTTCCCTCTGACTCTTCCCATACATTCATCTGTCGTTGCGAGTCGCTTTGGGACGCCGTGGCATTTGATTTACGAACATAAATCCTTGACTTCTATGTTAACAACGTAGGAGATTGCTCTACAACGCAGTACGATCTATATGGAGCCTGTTTTTCACTGTCGTCTCCTCTCTATTCCATGATTCGATGTCCGCTTGACCAAAATTGCTACAAATGCACGTTTCCATCAACCTGGGAATCGCACACTTTTCGTTAAGGTTTTTAACAACAAACGTTCGCTTTGCGCCCCTTCCCTCTTAAGCGCAAAGTATTGTGTGTATTGCATGCGTAGTGTTCAATGAATTTATGTTGCTGGTTTATCGACATTGGTTGCATGGCGTGGTGATAATTAATACAAGTGCGATGGCTGCATGACTCTGGGGGGCTCACAACAGCCGAGTCGCGCCTTGGAGATTTTGGGTTCTAATCCGGGTTACAAGTCAGGCAAGTTACTTGCTCTCAGACTAGTAACCAATGTCTGCACATGTAAAAAACACTGATTTATTTCATTGTGTTTACACAGAATTTGGATACATTCCAGGTGTGGACACTTAAACGTTGAATCAATTGCCATGCGACGATCGCTGTTTGCAGGGCATATAAAACTTGTGCTAACTAGAGTGACAAAACTAACTCGCGTGTACAACGAATTGACCAACCGGTGTTGCTAGAACTCTGAAGGTCGTGAGTGCATGTTGATTGGAGGTCAACCCAACCGTCATCCCTCCGGGGTCGACAAGACGAAGCGCCCCGTTTCTCTCGGCAGGATTTCAATCGTCCTGCAGTGGAAGACTGTCCCTCGCCATGTGAATGTGGAATGGTCGTTATTGGCTCACGACCATCGGCGTAACACGCAATGAACGCATCGTTAGCCCTGCCCCAAGCCCTGCTTGGTCCGGAGCCAGATTGAGGCGTCTCGTGAGACCAGCGCATCTCGGCACGGCAAAACGGCCAGTGGGAAAAACCACCCGTGCCGGCTCGGCTCGGATGTGCTGGTGAAAAAGGGCTGAGAGGCAATGGAGGAACTCCATTACGTGAGCGTCACATTAACACCACTGGTTCAGTGGCACCAGCAGAGATGAGCATCGCCCTGCTTCCCCGTTTGGGCAGGGAGACTCTGGGACCACCTTGACTTGTAATAATAATAATAGTTCAATTTATAACGCGTGCAAATTTGCGGACGTAATGGCCGCAACTCAGAGGCGCGGAGCCGAGCTCAGAGTCGCTCGAAAGCATGATTGTAGATTGTAGAGGTGAGTTTTTAAGTGTCTCTTGAAGGAGGCGATTGAGGTGATGCTGCGAATGTGCAGAGGGGTGATGGCGTTCCAGACTGTTGGGGCTGCCATTGAGAAGCGGCGCATAGACGTGACCATCCTGGATCTTGGTATCAAGAGGAGGTCGTGAGTCGCGCTGCGCAGGCATCTGCCGTGTGCTGAGCTGCAAGTTGTCAATAATGAAGAAAGGTACGGCGGGCAGGCGGATATGAAGGCATTGTGGCAGAGGCAGGCGATCTTGTATGTGACCCTACTGGCGATGGGTAGCCAGTTGAGAGCGTAGGAAGACAGGCTAGTGAGTCGACTTGTGAACTTTGTCAACGTCATCGCTAAAAGCCACCCCCACCTTCCCTCCTCGCCACCCCGCCGCACCGTGATCTTCAGGTCGCGCCCGCAAGCACCACAGCCGCCGGCGTCAAGGACAAGAAGTCGCTGCCTCCGGCGCTGCCCAAGCCGCACGCGGTGCCGGCTCACTCGCTCGTGCCGCGCTTCTACTTCCCGCACGGCCGCCCGGCGCCCAACGGCCCCACGTCGGACCAGATGATCGAGCGGGTGGAGGAGTCGTTCACGCCTTACCCGGACGAGCGCGCCGACATTCATCAGATGGCCACCGTGGCCAAGGTGCGTGGGCTCTTTATCTGTGACCTGTGCGTGTGTTGAATTTCTTTCGTGCCGTACGTTGCCACGTACACGTTAGGGAGGGAGGGAGTGCGTGTGTGTGTGTCCGGGGTTGGTGAAGGCGGGGAGCATATAAAATATCAACGATTGAATTAGCCGCACTGCCCCCTGCTGACCATCGCATCGCCCCGCAGTAGCCTACAGCAACCTGCTGTGCATGATGGGTGCCCTACCCAGGCACTGTCTGGTCTCAACGTTGCTTGGCTTCCGAGATCTCATGGGTTTGTGTGCATTCCGATCAGCATTAGTCGTTTTGAAGTCATTATTATCGACAACATCAGCATCATTGGCATCAGCAAAATCGACATCAGCAGACGTTTTTTAATATCATCAGCAGGGTCATTGTCATCAATAGCAGTCACGACATCATGAGCAGAATTGTTTTAGCAGCAGCGTTGTTAGCAACAGCATCATCATTAACATTAATAACAACTGAAGTAACATCAGCAACAACAGCATTCATTTTAAGACCATTATTATTTTATTAGTTCGCTTGTTTACCCAGGAGAGCCTCGCTAAGTCTCATGACCGTTTGTCGGAAGGTCCCTGCCAAGTTTTCGCAGTGGGGGGTGATCTTCGGCATGTAGATGATTCCTATTTTTAACTTCATCAATCAATCAACCCACGATTTGCAACGCGCGCCATGTTCGGCAAAACGCTGAGACGCGGATGGCACAGAACATTTTGAACTGAATGAAACTGTTACAGAAGAGAAAATAAATGTTTTTCGTCGATAGTCACGCTTGAGCGGGCTTCAGTCGACAGAGACCACTCCAGGTCACATGGGCTGCAGATGAGCGGCTCCGTTCTGCCGAAGCCGAGTGTATCTCGCACAGGTCGGCCGGTCCGACACCGGCTGAGCGTAGGTTCCGGGACGGTACACACGGGGCGGATGGCGTCGCTCTGCTAGGTTGGTTCACCACCGGTTGTTCAGCTACCGTTGAACGAAAGCCTCCCCACTCATTCGCCATCGCACGCAATCCTGCCATGGGATCATCCGTCACACGCCTGCACATGAAACTGGTATCATCGCTCCATCTCTGCTGAGAAGCTGTTTGGTAAATTAAATGAGTACCCATTTCTGGAAAGTGCTATGAAGATAGGGCTATTTGCCCAAAACGTCGCCTGCTTTTTTTCTTTTCTTTTTAAGGCATTGTTATTGTTGAATGTGAGCTTTGTTGTTGGTTGAATGTGTTGAGTTTTGTTTTTGTAATTGTGCTTGTGCACGCCTGCCAATGAAGCGTCACCAAATGCATTGATTTAATTGCGGTGAATTTCGATTTAAAGCTTTCGTGACTGCAGGGATTCATCTTCTTGGTTCTTTCGGTAAAGTCGCGTAGAAGTTAAATAATAAAATAATAAAAATAAAACAGAATAAAATAATTCTCACGACGTTTTGGCCACAACGCAAGCAGCCGTCCTCAGGTGAAGAACAGGTCTGTCGGGGAGACAGCTTCAGACAGCTTCAGACGCTGTCTCCCCGACAGACCTGGTCTTCACCTGAGGACGGCTGCTTGTGTTGTGGCCGAAACGTCGTGAGAATTATTTAATGTTTTATTTTTATTATTTTATTATTTCCCTTCTACGTGACTTTACCGAAAGAACCAAGAAGATTAATTGCGGTAAGTCGAGCTTTGGTTCGCCTGCCGATTTAATCGCCCCCGTCGTAGGAATATGGAAACTTCACCATCGGCCCAGCGAGATGGAAAACACTCCACGTCCATTTTTGCATCCAACCACTTTGGATGCTTGCCCTGGAATTGATGGCCTAAGCCAGGGCTCTTTAGCTGCCCGCCACAGACGGATGTATCCCACGAAGGCACGTGGAGTGGCCCGACCGAGCTTTGGCCCACCGAAAAGTAATGTTTGCCAAGATATAAAAAATATTCGGCTTAGTGAGACAAAAGAATGATTAACAAGAGATAGAGATGAGAAACCTGGAGACAAGAAGTACAGATCGGTGGTGGCACACACAGGCGCGACAACGTGACGGGGCGATGTTAAACTAAACTGAATTATTCACAATTTTTTATTTTACCAGCTAAATGATAGCTCAATGAAGGGGCTTAGCACGTGGAAATTTATAGCAGCCAAATACTTTAAACGGACGTTGCTTCTAAATGTGGAGGGAAAAACCGGAGAACCCGGAGAAAAATCCATGCCACCACAGGGAGAGAGAGACATGCAAATTCCAAATATACAGCAGGCATCAGGGTCGGGATCGAACCCACGACCTCCTGTATACCAGGCAAGGGCGGTAACATCTCATCACTGTGGTGCCCAGCATCTGCGCACGTGGAAAATGACATCACGTGGTCCGCCAGCACACGCTAATTTCGTTGAGTGGCTCGCCAGAAGGTATAGTTAAAATAATCGTGCTCTACGCTTACATTAACTTGTATCACATTTTTCCTTGCCATACGGCCAGTGCAGTTTTACCCGAGTTTCCGGCCCAAAGACCTGGAGCCCGTTGCCGGCACATTTTCGGTATCCATCCTTGAGTCTGAGCCAGTTTTCCAACAAACTTAAAACGGTGTTGTTGTTCCAAAGAGCTTACTCTGTGCAATCCGTGACGAACTGTACTTGTGAGAGTGCGCAAAAGCAAATGTTCAGACTTACTCTTTGCCAGCGAGGTCAGAGTTTTTACGAACATCGTGGATGTCCTCTCGGGCGTTTTCCCTCCATTGTGCCCCTTCTCTGTTGCTAGTCTCGACCACCGGACGCCGTTCCACATAGCAACCCGTCCTGCCCAATCCCGCTTGCTTTTCTGTCCGCCCAGGCCTGTGGCTGCCCTGTTTACTGGAAGTCGGCGTTGTTCCATGCGGCGAGCGGGGAGCGAACGGGTTTCGTGTCCGTGCACACCTTTGTGGCCATGTGGAGAAAGTGAGTATGTGTATGGGGGTGTGCGTGTCTTTGTTTGACCGGTCCCTCACCATGTGGGGAGCGGTGGTGTAGCAGTTAGCGTGTTGCGCTACGAACCCGGCGACCCGACTTCGATGCCCGCTCACGGCCAACACCAGTCTCGATTATTTGAACCGGTCCTGGGCCTCCCCTAGGTCGATGTATAAACATCGCCACTGGGGAGACAAAGGTGGCTGGGCGTGGTGTTGGCCACCCCACCCCCTTGTGTGCTGTGCCGGCCTTCATAGGTGCTCGCTAACAACACTTGCTCCAAAAGCCTGTTCCAGGCTATACAGGGGGACATTTGTCTTTGCGTGCGACCAGTCCTCGCCATAGGAATATGGAATTTACACCACCTGCTCAACGGCCACCAATGCAGCCAAGCGCTGTCGTAATGCCCATTCGATGCTCACGAATACAAGTATTGAGACCCACTACAGCTTTCCTGGACTATACATTTTAGTAAAATTGTACTTGTAACAAAACGAACGGTGCCCGGCAATGACCACGTTGATAATTATTGTGTCGACGATTGACGACCGTGATGATTTTGACAGCCCCTCGTTGTGATTGTGACGATGATTTCGCCGGCGTGCCACCCACTCCCCGCGGTGGCGCAGGCTCTTGCGAACTTGCCACGACGACTCGGCCAAGTTTGTGGCTCTGCTCGCGCGTCCCGGCTGCAGTTACCTGGTACAGGAGGACTTCATCCCCTTGCTGCAGGTGAGGAGGAACGAGCGGTCCGTGCTCTTCGTCTGTTTGACGAAGAGCAGCGAAGACGATTCGGAATTATTGTTCTGGTCGCGTGAGGCATCCGTCGTTTACTCCGGTTGGCAATGCACGGTGACCTGATTGTCCGACGCACCGAGAAGTTGATATCAACACCCCCCCCGCCCCCCAAAGATATTGCGGTGTCCTTCCCCATCTACTCAACCGCACGGACACTCATTCATCCATTGACCCACTCACTCTTCCACTCACTCACGCTCCCATTAATTTTTTCACTGACCCGCTCCTCCGATTAGCACGGTTGGCTAAGTATGGTGCGAAAGAAGTTCAACATACACACACACCCACCCACTCACTCGCTCGCTCAAACACCCGCTCACCCACTCGCTCATCCACTCACTCAGCCACTCGCTGATTCACTCACCCACCCAACCCCACTCACCCTTCACTGACCCGCACCTCCGATTTGCACGGTTGGCTAAGTATGGTGCGAAAGAAGTTCAACATACACACACCCACCCACTCGCTCGCTCAAACACCCGCTCACCCATTCGCTCATCCACTCACTCAGCCACTCGCTTCACTCACTCACCCACCCAACCCCACTCAGCCTTTCGCACACCCTTGCAATGTCTGGCCCATCTATGTGGAGTTCTCTGCCGGTCACTGTCTGTGAGTTGTCACCAATTCTGAACCAGTTCTGCAGCAGCAGCTGCAGCCTCAAGTGGGAAATGTTCCGTGAAGTTGACAGGACATAGCCATGTCGTGATAGCGTTCATGCATTCAGAATGGCACGAATATCCTCTGTCCGTACTTGCCGCATCGCAATACAAAGCACAATACAACGTGTGAGTGTCATCAGTATCGGTGGTGGAAAGTTTTCTTGTCATTAGTATCAGGGTCGGTATCGGCACGATTGGTATGTGGTCGTCCTCGTCGGCGTCATCGTTTGTGCCATCTCGTTTCATTCGTTTCAGAATCTCTAGAATCGGTGTTGTCAGAGCAACTTGCGGCCCTTTGAGCCTGGTGGGCCGAGTTTGACTTTTGGCTGCGGCTAACGTCAGTGGCGTGTGAAATCTGAACCTCTCCTTGACAACCCACTCACCCCCCCAACCCGCCCACTCAACCCACATCCCCACTAACCCACCCCTCCACTAACCCCCTCCCACTAAGCCACCCCCCACTAAGGTACCCCCCACTAACCCACCCCCCCACTAACCCACCCCTCCACTAACCAACCCCTCCACTAACCCAACCCCCACTAACCCACCCACCCAACCCACCCCCCACTAACCCCCCCCTCCACTAACCCACCCCTCCATTAACCCCCCCCCCCCACTAACCCACCCAACCCACCCCCCACTAACCCACCCACGTGACCCACCCAACCCACCCCCCACTGACCTAGCCACCAACCCACCCCCCAATAAACCACCCACAAACCCACCCACGTGACCCAACCAAACCACCCCCCACGAAGCCAGCCACCAACCCACCCTCCACTGACCCAGCCACCAACCCACCCTCCACTAACCCAGCCACCCAACCCACCCTCCACTAACCCACCCACCCACCCTTGCCAGCTCACACTGACCAGTTTGGTGAAGTATGGTCAAGCAGCCCCCATAACCATTTTGATGTGGGGACAGCTGGAGACGCGTTCCAGCAGTGGATCAGTAGGGGGGTGGGGATGCAAATGATTATTTTATTATTATGATTATGATGAGTCTCAGTGAGTGCTCATATAGCTAAATAAAGACCATTGCTTAAAATAGCTTTATCTTATCCGTTACACAGTTCACATTCTTGTTAATGCAGCTTAGCATCTCCTCGATTAACGTGTTCTTCTACATATTTACTTTTCTTTGTGTGTTCCTATATACATTTCTATATTTTATGTGCGCTTGAGAAACACACTAGCATGCTGTTTCTCCATGCGCTCGGGTTAACTTCCACACAGTAAACTTAAACAATTTTGCAATTGTCCAAACATCCCAAGGAGTTCGCTCCTCAAAATAATCTTGAGACTTCAGTGAGGTTTCCATGAGCAACAAAATTAAATTGTTACAAATGCAAATGTTACACTCATCCAGCAGTGGATTTACAGAGGGCTGTGAAGACATGTAAGTGATTGTGCTTGCAGCGTTAGTGTATGAATGGATCTGTAAATGATCATCATCCTCGTCAGCCATGGCCAATCCACTGCTGGATGAAGGCCAACCCAAGCCACCGCCGCCACCTGTCACGATCTTGCAATGTAAAAATCCACCTAATCTCCTGCACAATCCGTCTCCCCAGTGGACGTCCATTTCCTTGTCGATTATACACGGCACGAAAGTTAACGGAACCCAATTATCCTGCGGGAAAATGATAATTTTCTTCCCAATAATTTCTCCACAAAATCTTCATCATATCTCGCCAGAAGTCGCAACCGGGTACCCGATACCCGTACCCTACCCGATACCCGGCTACCCGTACCCGGGTACGGGTAAGGAATCAAAACCTGTTTGCGACCTCTGTATCTCACACAACAACAATGCCACAAGCTGCCAAGTAAGGATGTTTTTCGGTCATCGAATTTGGCCCGGAGTGTTGCAGCTCAAGCGGGCGGCAACGCATCTCCGTTGACTACGGCAAGGGTGGCCCTCGTCTCTTGAGTCACAACCAAACTCAAACTATGAACACATTTTTTTTACTTGACCAGGTAAGGTCCACTGAACTGTGTAGTTATTTTTCAGAAGCGGCCTGGCCATCACAAATGATAGCTCAAAGAAGTGGCTCATCACGTGGAAATGTATAGCCGCCAAATACTCTAAACGTGTGACTTTGATTCTAAACGTGGAGGGAAAAACCGGAGGAACCGGAAAAAAAATCCACGTGACCACGAGGAGAACATGTAAACTCCAAATATACAGGCGTCAAGGTCGGGTTTGAACCCGCGACATTCTGCCTACCAGGCCAGGTAGTTAACATCTCGCCACCGTGGCGAACACAGGGTTTTGCTACGACATTTCGCTTGTAGTTACAGCTAAGCATCATCAGGCAGTTGATAATTGTGACAGCTTCATTAATTGGCCGTGTCGGGTGGAGGAGGGTGTACGACACACATCTTGCTCGTGTGGCCTGACTGAACAGTCAATCGTGAATCGTAGAGAGCGCTTCTTAATCGCGTGTAAGCACACGCGTGCACACGCGCGCATCTCGATTGGAATTCGAACACGACCGGCCCTCTTTAGGTCACGTGGAACGAGCGTCACGATCAGCAGGCAGACGTGTGCAGCTCGTGACCGCTTAGTGTGTGTTTAAACAGAGGCGGCATGGCTGTCTCTGGCCTCGGCGTCATTTCTCCGTGGTAGCCCGCACCGTCCGGTACGTCGTCATCCCCACTGCAAATTTCAATTTAAAGCTTTCGTGACTGCAGGGATTCATCTTCTTGGTTCTTTCGGTCAAGTCACGTAGAAGGGAAATAATAAAATAATCAAAAGAAAACATAATAAATTACAATTCTCACGATGTTTCGGCCACAACGCAAGCAGCCGTCCTCAGGTGAAGAACAGGTCTGTCGGAAAGACAGCGTCTGAATGAACGACAGCCCTGTTCTTCACCTGAGGACGGCTGCTTGCGTTGTGGTCGAAACGTCGTGAGAATTTTATTTTATAATGTTTTATTATTTCCCTTCTACGTGACTTTACCGAAAGAACCAAAAAGATCAATCCCCGCTGCACATTCGCAGCAGCAGCAGGGTTCCCCGACACAGACCGTCGTTACAGAGGCCCTCGAAGGCCCTACAACCTCTCTCACCTGGTTTTCCAGCGACACTTTACATTGGTGAACTTGGGAAAAATTTTCTTTGGAGGGTTTTTAGGGATTGGGGTTGAAGAAATGCGCCCCCTAGCCCAGGAGGGACGATAGACCGATCCCAACCCTCCCCCAACTGGGAAATCGAATGTGTAATTTCGCGGGCGTTTATAACCGCCGTTCTAACCACCTTGGTGACTCTAGGTTCCAGAAGCGACCTGATAGACTGGTGTTTTTTGAGAGCGAGACAGGAGAGAGATTCCCAACCTCTTCCAAGCGCAAGATTAAATTCGCCGTGGCCTCTTTTGTCGGCCCGCGCAGACGGGAACGGCGCGCGCCGCGCCTCCTCGCTTACCGAGTGTTTCTGCGGCTCGTTCTCCTCTGCCCGGCTCCGTTGAAGGTTGCGCGCCGAGCGCTAAATTTGGGCTTCAAAGCCGCCCCTCTCCAGCGATGAGGGCTGCGCTGATGCGTAAGTTTATCCTTCCGCTGTCATTGGCGCTGCTAGACAGACGAGCGTGGCTTAGTAACGCCGGTTCCCTACGAGTGCTGTTGTTTAGCCCCACTGCATGGTGGGGATGGTGAGGGCCTGATACTGAAGGTCAATTGGTTTTGATTCCCATTGATTGGTCTGGGCAAGCCTTGCTGAATCCCACGGCTCTTTTTATCTCAAGAGGATCCTGCTTTTTGGGGTGGTTGGCCGGTTATTTTTTTTAAGTTGTGTTTTTGAGTCGTGTGGAAGGAAAACCTGAGTTTAACCGCTAACGATATTTTTTTACCAGGTAAGGCTCCCATAAGCGACATGGCCACGAATGATAGCCCAATGAAGAGGCTTATTACGTGAAAATTTTGAGCAGCCAAACATTGTAAATGCATGATGTTGATTCTAAATGTGGAGGAAAAAACCAGACGACCCGGAGAAAAATTCACACGCCCACGGGGAGATCATGCAAGCTCCGAGTATACAGGCATCAAGGTCAGAATCGAACCCACAACTTCCTGTATACCAGGCGAGGTAGTTAACATCTCGCCACTTTGGCGAATACTTTGATAAAACCACTGGAGGCTCTGCACAGATGGGAACATGAACCCACTTTCATGAACCCACTTTCTATGCTACCATCTCCTGCTCACAGATCTGTGTGATCCCACAAACATTCTCTCCAAAGCACAAGATTACAACCATCTGCCACTCCGCCCTGCTCTACAGACAGACAGGCAGCCCTTTGTCAATCCTCAGTAGAATGAAGGCCTCCCCACGTGGAGTTGGTCAGCGTGGTTGCTTGGTCATACTTCGCCAAACTGGTCTTTGTGGATTGGTAAATTGGGGCCCAGATATTACTTGTTACTGATGTCAGCCGTAGCTGGAAATTGAACCCAGGTCGCCAGTTTCGTAGCACAAAGTTACTGCTGCGGAACCTTTTCTCCCCATCTACCTTTCTGTTTGAGTTATTTTGAGATAACAACATCTCATTGGTAAGCATGAAATGTAACTGATCTGGAATTGTTTATATGCTGCTAAAGAGCATGATAAAATGTAATTTGTATTAAGTCAAATGTGGTTGTCCTATGGAAAGATTGGCCACTGTCAGTAGAATATGGAATTTCCATCACTTACTCGCTCGACATTATTCACAAGTGATGCTTTAACTTGACGAATGAAACATAAGAAACCACATGCCACTAATTTCAGTCAACCATAGCCATTTCAAGCTACTTTAAGAAAAATTCTACCACCACCGAATATCTGGTCACGTACGGTGTGAAAGAAGTTAAACACACACATCAAGTGCACCATTATGGCACTGCTGACCCAAATTTAATATCGCTCCATTGCAATTTAATTATACTCCAGTGCCCTGTTATCACCAGAACACTATGATTGGCCATCATGTTCTTTAGAATCTTATCTCTCTCGTGGATGTATCTTGAAACCAGCGGTTTGCCAGCCAAGATAAACACCGTCATACATATGCATCTGCAAGAGCTGTGTTTGTCAGTTTGGGATAAGTCTTCCTTTTAACCAAAAAATAAATAAACTCGCCGTTTTCGATCCGTTTAAAGAACAATTCTGTCCACTCGCCGGTTCGTCTGCACGAAGCCCCGTTGTTACGCAACCGTTGATTTCTAAACGCCGGACCGGTGCGGCTGCGGTGGCGGCGATAACAGCCCCAGCGGGCGTATTGTTGCAGTGCGTCAGCCGAGAGGTCGCGTTACATCGGGACCCTACCCCGGGCCGCTTAGACAAGCGCCGATTGTGGCATGCCGGCCCTCCCTCCCGCCTCGCCCCGCTCCCTGCCGGCTTGCCGGCTCGCCATCACCATGCCTTGCGTATCTCTCTCGCTCGCTCGCTCGCTCTCTCAAGAACAGACGTCCGAAATAGAATGGTTAAAGAGCCACCCCCGCATTCGTTTTTAGCAGCTGTCGCCAGCTCGCAACGTCTTCTCACGCTTCGTAGAGCGGATAATAAAATGCCACGGGCAGTTTTCCCTCACCTCCGGTGAGCACCGTTGGCTACATACGGTGCGAAAGAAGTTCAACAAACGTACATTAAACTTTTCCGGTGATTGGCAAAACGGAGCGGTTCATTTGCCGCATACGGGCCAAATGCGAAGATTTCCCTCTGCTCTAATGAGCACTGGGATCTCTTTCGCTGGCCCTGAGCCGATGGTGGAAACTCCACATTCACACAGCAAGAAGACGGTCTCTTCATTTGGACGAACGCCGTCGACTTATCGCAAAGCGTGGGGCCGATGAGTCGGCGGGCGATTTGAAATCGGGAGCGTCCCAATTTGTGAGTCGGGTACTTTTAATCGCAGCGCCACCCAGACAGACTCCTTTAAAAATCTACGATGAAATCATTTAGATGCAAAGGAAAGTACACACGTGTGTCCTCGTAGCATATGGCAGAGGGGCTCAATGGCCATGTCATATTCAGGCAGCTGTCTGTCTATTTAAGACCGAAACAGGGAGATTTCTCCACAATTCTGGCTGTCGCCTGATGATGCTAGTTGTAATTACTGGCGAAACGTCGTACTCGAATTGTAAATTTTTGAGTTTACTCTCCAACGCACCGGTGTGTTGTACGAGTAACGAATTGGAATGTTTTTGTTACGTGACAAACCTTACTAATTGGCTGTGTCGGGTGGTGGCGGGTTTTGAATGGCACATTTGTATTTCCGTGATCGAACCCAAAAACCGAATATGGATAATATCGGTTGCGAAAGCCAACGACATGTTAAGCTTTCTGTGATTAAATCAGGTTCTCAACCGTGTAGCACGTTTGTTGGGCCCATCTTAGTCATCGATGAGTGCGTGAAAACACAATTTTAAAACATGCCTCCTGCAGCTCTGAAGTTATAAATGCACTGGATGACAGAAATGCAACAAAGTTCCGTGTTTCAGACAACACGAAGGACGAGAGAGGCTTACTGGATGTGACGATGCGAGTAATTCCACGGTTTCATCTTCCTTTACCTTACATGGTATCGTAACTCTGATAGACGCACAAGTGCTATCGGTGATACACATTGAAAAAAAACATAGACTTACGTAAGTTTTTTTTTTAAACGTTTAATACCACGCAGCAGAAGAGAATGCCTCCAGCCCAAAGAGGGCAAGCCTCGAAATAAATCACGCCGCGCTAAAAATACGACGGTCGCATTTACTCCGCGAACCGACGCTGCCCGTGGCATCGCCGGAAGGGGGGCAAGGGAGGAGGGGTGGGCGCCAAACCGAAACAAGTTTCTCGCGCGACTCAGTTTCAGAAGCGGCTAAGTACGACCCCGAAACAAATCATTACCAAGAAATAAATAAAAGCCTCCGATTTAGCACGGTTAGCAAAGTATGGTGCGAAAAAAGTTGAACGTGCGTGCACGCAGCGCGAAAATGTACCGCGAGACAAAAAAAGACACCACACACGGCAGAGGTCGCAAACGGGTTTTGATTCCTTACCCGTACCCGGCCGCACCAGGGTCGCAAATGGGTAGCCGGGTATCGGGTAGGGTACGGGTATCGGGTACCCGATTGTGACTTCTGACACACAGGCCCACTTATTTTTTGACTGAATATATTCGCAGTTTTGATTACAATTTGTTCCGAGAGGCATTGCAATGTTGTCACGAGCCGATTGAAATGTCCATTGGGAACTCTCACAGTGAGCAAATGCAACCCTGAGATCGCGTTAGGGAAATGGGAAGTTGTAGAACTACTTCTGAAATATCGCGTCAAAAAGCTGTGCGAATTTGAAAATGTAACCGCGATATTCTCAACTGGGATTACACATAGCAACGTCACCCCCTGTCGCCAAACTGCTACGGGCTACGTGAAACAGAGCGCCTTCGTGATAGCCGTGCACTATTAGACCAGCGTAAAAACTAAATAAACAAATTACTTGATTTAGCCACAGGGTAGAGCCGGGACGATGAGTTCATTTATCAACTCGAGATTGCAATCGACGTTTTTAAATTTCGGTATTTTGACCCCTTATAAGAAAACGGCGGCCGCCCCCACATCCTGCCTCCTGAAGGCAGGCAACCCCCGAGGAGCCACGCCCAGCGTGACGCGGCTGATGATGGTGATGGGGTCATCAAGCTCAGCCAACCGCCTCCCCTCCCATCCAGCGTCACGCGTGGAAACGGAGGCGACGATATTTTTTTACGACATTCTTTCCCCCTTCCCCCCCCCCCCCAACTGCAATTGTATTCATACTCTTTGGTTCTTTCGGTAAAGTCACGTAGGTAGAAAATAAAAAATAATATATCACGACGTTTCGATCGCGACACAAGCGATCGTCCTCGGGCGGGAAAAAAAATAATCCAGCAGTAGAGCTGCTGAACCAGGAAGAACACAGCAGCGAGAGAGCTGCTACAACAAGAGGTTATATATGTTGGCCAAGGGCAAGCAGGCGGGAAAGGAGTCCCATCCCCGCACGCAAGCACATCAGTTGTGTTGATGGAGGAGATTAGGGAGAGAGATTAGCATGCCGAAGTGAGCTTCCGTCGCTGCATAAGAGTATCGTCCCCGCATATGCGCACCGCAGCAGTGTTGATGGCAGATTAGCACTATAGTAGTAGGTTTTTACTCTTTTAAACTGGTACAAAACTGACACCTTTATTAGGTGTCAGTTTTGTACCAGTTTAAAAGAGTAAAAACCTACTACTATATTTTGCCACTGGTAAAAGAGATCTCATAGTGAGATTAGCACTATGTTGATGGGAGAGATTAGGCAGAGAGATTAGAGAGATTAGCAAGCTTCCAATCAAGACTGCAATTGTATTATATCCGATTCGTTGAATAATCGATATACTTAAATTAACGGATAACCCAGCTCGAATGATTTTCCCCGTAAAGAGGGTTAATAAAGTGACAGCCTTGAGTTGTGTTAATTTCTGCAGCTGGAATGTGCGGGGTTACAACATCAGCAAATGCAGCACTTTTTGTTTTTTGTATGACCAGTGGTGACTGGGTTGAGGCCATCAGCTCACTGGGATTGAGAACCCCCGTTTAATCACCATCTCTGTGTGGAGTCTGTATGTTCTCCCCCTGTTCTGCGTGGGTTTCCTCACGCGTTCTCCGGTTTCGTTCCATAGCATAACAAATAACACACAATACAACAGGCTGGTGTTGGCCAAAACATCCCACCGCTGAATATATTCCTGCAAATGACCCAAATTAGGATTACGCCCAGCAGCAACTAACGTCGCCCCCCGCTGCGACAACTTGGTAGGACGCTCCTGAAAAATAATTATTTTCCAGCAGCACCACCAGGTATACAAATGCATTATTGTAATTGTGAATGGCAATATATGGCTATGTTCAGGTCAAATTCATTATCGTTGATGTGGTTGTCCTCTCCCGTTTACGTCCCAATGCTCAGGACATCGTGGACAGTCACCCTGGACTCACATTTTTGAAGGAGGCACCGGAATTCCACTCGCGGTACATCACAACGGTAAGGCGATGCCATAGCCTGCAACCAACTCTGTGCCTTAACCATTGAATTGCCTCCCAGCCGTGTATAGTAAACCCACAACGCTGCAACGCACACTTGCCCTGTAATGTCATGTTGATAACCCGGGTCACTCTTGCAAACGAGTCTATGAACTTGAAACTTGACTGTGCACTGACAATTTACTCTAACCATGCAACTTACCACTTACCCTTAGACTACAACCGACCCGTAATCCTACAATATATCCTAACTTTGCATATACCCTATCTCCCGAACTCTACAACATCACCTAATCCTATTTATTAAAATGTACTTTAAAACAGCACCGCGGTTTTTTCTGCTCAAACAAGCATGGCTCAGCGCTCATCCTCTTTTCACCAGTGGTGGAAATTCCTCATTCCTATGGTGGCGGCGGCGTGGTCGGTGAGAGAATATACCCTGGCCCTACGTCAGCGGTTTGCCGATTGGCTTGTAAGGGCTTGGAGGCGCCCGGCGTTCGCCCATTGACTCGGTCTGCGGCCAGCGGCACGCTCGTGCCGCGTCGCGGGGGTGACATTACCGGGAAACGAAACATCGGCGGCAGCTCGGTCTCGGGAGCGGCCAAAATCGGCGTTAATAATAACCACGCAGCTGCCGCCCCCGCACTGATCTCCACAAATCCCGGGCGCGCGCTGCCGCCCGTAAGCCTTGTTCCACCGCGAAACCGTGGCGGTGACGCTGGGATCACCGTTCCCGTTGCCCTTGCGACGCAGCTGACTTTTAGTTTCGTCAGCCAGCCAGCCAGCCGTATGTCCCGCGCGCACGCTGCCAGCATGGAGTCGTGCCGGGTAAGACTCTTTCCTTTTGGATTGAGCGCTTGGCGAACGCGATTGGTTTGCCTAAACTAAACCATCAACTATTTTTATTTCACCAAGTTAGGTTCGCTGAGCTATACAGCTCTCTTTCGGAAGCGACCTGGCCACAAATGATAGGTCAACGAAGTGGCTTATCACGTGGAAATGTACGTCAGACAAATACTCTTAAATGCATATTTCTAAATGTGGAGGGAAAAACCGGAGGAGCCGGAGAAAAATCCACACGTCCACGGGGGAGAACATGCAAACTCCAAATATACAGCAGCAGGCGTCAGGGTAGAGATTGAACCCACGACCTCCTGTATACCAGGCGAGGTAAACACCCGGCAGCCGCTAGAGGTTCTACGTGCGCACGCTGGCTCGCTCGCTCGTCGTCGTCAACCACGATCTGTCCGCAGCTGGATAGAGGCCTCCTCTCATGTCACCGCGAATCCGCTCACGGTCCTACGGCGCAACGGTCCGTCTCGTTGATTTAGTCGCACCGCGTTCCCGCGGTGGGCCTCCTCCCGGGTGAGTTACCTCCTTGGGCTGCCACTCCGTCGTTAGTCTAGACCAGCGGCCAGCATTGCTTCTATCGCGACGTGTCCTTACTTTTCTTAGCAGTCGGTACGATGTCTCCAATTTGCATGCTACGTTTTCCTCCTTATGCATTCGTGTATATTTTCAAGCATGCCCTGGGTATTTTCGCCGGTTCGTGCGTTGAAGGGCGCTGTCAGATGCTGCAGCATTCAAGGGCCTTGGTGAATTCAATTCCCTACCCGACCACCCGCACCCGCAGGTGATCCAGAGAGTGTTTTACGTTGTGAATCGCTCGTGGTCCGGACGGATTTCGCTGACCGAGCTACGGAAAAGCAACTTCCTGCAGGTGAGCCGCGCATTCCCTCTCAGCTTTTTTTTGTTGCCGAATCTTCCATCGATCGATTGATTGACAACGGTCACACTCGGCGCACAGTTGTCCATGCCAAAGTCAAGGAATGAAATACTCTTCTTCGCATATGAACATCGCTGTTAAGAGACCGATATGTGTTTCCTGAGACGACGATCAGGGACGTGAGAGTGTGTATGGGGAGGGGAAAAGGGTAAGGAGGGTGGAAGGTAAAGAACACGCTGGGAGAAAGACAGGGATGGGGAGAGGAGAACGGGAAGGTGTGAGGGGGGGGGGCACCATCTTGCTCTTAGCTCTTCTCCTCCCCTTCACGAAATCACACATTCATTCGATGCTTTTTTCTTTTCATACGTTTAAATATTTGCAGTAAACACTGTCGGCTTCCCCACAACGTTAGACAGAGTTCAAAGTGGGGCATAATCCCAGGTTAACCGTCGCTGAGATTTACTCGGTTGCGCAGTTCGTATAATGTTCCCTCATTCAAATAGTTAGAAGAACCGCCGTGGATTTCCGACACAGGGAGACGGAATTTAACCGACGTTGGGCAATATGACACCCGACTGACATTTGAGATTCGAGCGAGCAAACTTCCGACGGCGCGTCTACATTTCAAACTGCAGCAACACGGCGTCGAAGATATTTTGTTTTTCATCGTACTGACGATGACGACGAATATGTTGTTATCGATGATTATGATGATGATGACGACGATCGCTGTGATTGGCGACTTGAATGGGTTCAGACGCTTGCGCTGCTCGAGGAGGAGGAGGACATCAACCAGATCACCGACTACTTCTCCTACGAGCACTTCTACGTCATCTACTGCAAGTTCTGGGAGCTGGACACGGACCACGACCTCTACATTGACCGCAAGGACCTGGAAAAGCACAACGACCACGGTACGGCTCGTACCAACGCTTCAACTCTAGCGCGTTGTTGTCCGTCCCCCGCACGTCTGACTAGCACGGTTGGCTACGTTCAACGTACACACTTGCAATACAAACAGCCCTGCCCACTAGCTACGACCCTTAACCCGAGACTCATGCTTATCGTGACCCTAATCCTGACACTACCCCGAAGCATAATCGTAACCCTGTTCCTGAGTGGAGTTTTAAGCTCAATCATAGCTTTCAAATGATAACTTTAACCCTGACAATTAATCTTAGCCATAACCCTAACCCTGACACACTTTTTCAGAGTGATCTGGCCACAAATAAATAGCCCAACGAAGTGGCTTATCACGTGGAAATTTATAGCAGCCAAATACTCTAAACGTATGTTTATTAACGTGGAGGGAAAAACCGGAGGACCTGGAGAAAAATCCACGCGACCACAGGGAGAGAGACACGCAAACTCCAAATATACAGCTGTAGGCGTCAGGGTCGTGATCTAACCCACGACCTACTGCATACCAAGCGAGGTAGTTAACATCTCCTAGCCAATGTGATGATGATGATGAGAGAGAGAGAGACACGCAAACTACAAATATACAGCAGCACGCGTCAGGGTCGTGATCTAACCTACGACCTGCTGCATACCAGGCGAGGTAGTTAACTATCTCGCCACTCTGGTGAGCACCTGGAGAAGACTCGCCAAATGTTTTTGGTGGACACCACTGGAGGCTCCGCACAGACGGGAACACGAACCCACTTACTGTACTTCCACCGCCCGCCCACAAAATCTTGTGTGATCCTACAAACATTCTCCCCCCCAAAGCGCCAGATTACAACCATCTTTGCATTCAGCAGCAAAGTCACTGCCGTCGATGTTTTCCTGTCGCCGCAGCGATCTCAAGCCGGATGATCGACAGGATATTCTCCGGAGCTGTCACGAGGTACGCGGTGCCTGATGGCTCGCGCAGTGCGGCGTTTGCGCAGAACAAGGCGGCGCCGTGACGCCACGAAATCGGCACACCCCGACGAAATCACCGACCGGAGGGGGCTCGTCCCCCTGCCCATATTTGGTCTCGTGGAACCCGAACCGTGGTGCCTGTTTTATCGATTCTGGTCGCGGTCGATCCGACAGCCACGTTAAGAGTATCGGCTCACCGAGGGTCAATCGCTGCTTCGATTTCAATTGGCGAGCGACCCGTGGGTCCAGTAATCCCATTGGGTGGCACAGCGTCGTGCTTAAAAGCTCCCTTGTTGTTCGATTGGCCCATATCGTGCGTGTTGGGTGAGATTCGCTCGCAGTCCGTATTGATCGCATTCCAGCGCCGGTGTTTGTGTGAGCACGAGCGAGCGACAGCCCCATGGGAGGAACGCGTGTGGTTTGGTGCGGTGTGCTGCCGTGTGGTGTGCTGTTTTGTGGTTTGGTGTCGTGCGATACGGTGTGGTGTTGAGCGGTGTGGTGTGGTGTTGTGTGGTGTTGAGCGGTGTGGTGTTGATAGGTGTGGTGTTGAGCGGTATGGTGTTGAGCGGTATGGTGTTGAGCGGTGAGTGGTGTGGTGTTGTGTTGAGCGGTGTGGTGTTGATAGGTATGGTGTTGAGCGGTATGGTGTTGAGCGGTGAGTGGTGTGGTGTGGTGTTGAGCGGTGTGGTGTTGAGCGGTGAGTGGTGTGGTGTTGTGTTGAGCGGTGTGGTGTTGATAGGTATGGTGTTGAGCGGTATGGTGTTGAGCGGTGTGGTGTTGAGCGGTGAGTGGTGTGGTGTTCATCTTCTTGGTTCTTTCGGTAAAGTCACGTAGAAGGGAAGTAATACAAATAATAAAAATAAAACATAATAAAATAATTCTCACAGTGAGAATTATTTTATTATGTTTTATTTTTATTATTTGTATTACTTCCCTTCTACGTGACTTTACCGAAAGAACCAAGAAGATGAATCCCTGCAGTCACGAAAGCTTTAAATCGAAATGGTGTGGTGTTGTGTGGTGTTGAGCGGTATGGTCTTGAGCGGTGTGGTGTTGAGCGGTGAGTGGTGTGGTGTTGTGTGGTGTTGAGCGGTGTGGTGTTGAGCGGTGAGTGGTGTGGTGTTGATAGGTATGGTGTTGAGCGGTGTTGTGTTGAGCGGTGTGGTGTTGATAGGTATGGGGTTGAGCGGTGTGGTGTTGAGCGGTGAGTGGGGTGGTGTTGTGTTGAGCGGTGTGGTGTTGAGCGGTGTGGTGTTGAGCGGTGAGTGGTGTGGTGTTGATAGGTATGGTGTTGAGCGGTGTTGTGTTGAGCGGTGTGGTGTTGATAGGTATGGGGTTGAGCGGTGTGGTGTTGAGCGGTGAGTGGGGTGGTGTTGTGTTGAGCGGTGTGGTGTTGAGCGGTGTGGTGTTGAGCGGTGAGTGGTGTGGTGTTGTGTTGAGCGGTGTGGTGTTAATAGGTATGGTGTTGAGCGGTGTTGTGTTGAGCGGTGAGTGGTGTGGTGTTGTGTTGAGCGGTGTGGTGTTGATAGGTATGGTGTTGAGCGGTGTTGTGTTGAGCGGTGTGGTGTTGAGCGGTGAGTGGTGTGGTGTTGTGTTGAGCGGTGTGGTGTTGATAGGTATGGTGTTGAGCGGTGTGGTGTTGAGCGGTGAGTGGTGTGGTGTTGTGTTGAGCGGTGTGGTGTTGAGCGGTGAGTGGTGTGGTGTTGTGTGGTGTTGAGCGGTGTGGTGTTGATAGGTATGGTGTTGAGCGGTGTGGTGTTGAGCGGTGTGGTGTTGAGCGGTGAGTGGTGTGGTGTTGATAGGTATGGTGTTGAGCGGTGTTGTGTTGAGCGGTGTGGTGTTGATAGGTATGGTGTTGAGCGGTGTGGTGTTGAGCGGTGAGTGGGGTGGTGTTGTGTTGAGCGGTGTGGTGTTGAGCGGTGTGGTGTTGAGCGGTGAGTGGTGTGGTGTTGTGTTGAGCGGTGTGGTGTTGATAGGTATGGTGTTGAGCGGTGTTGTGTTGAGCGGTGAGTGGTGTAGTGTTGTGTTGAGCGGTGTGGTGTTGATAGGTATGGTGTTGAGCGGTGTTGTGTTGAGCGGTGTGGTGTTGAGCGGTGAGTGGTGTGGTGTTGTGTTGAGCGGTGTGGTGTTGATAGGTATGGTGTTGAGCGGTGTTGTGTTGAGCGGTGTGGTGTTGAGCGGTGAGTGGTGTGGTGTTGTGTTGAGCGGTGTGGTGTTGATAGGTATGGTGTTGAGCGGTGTTGTGTTGAGCGGTGTGGTGTTGAGCGGTGAGTGGTGTGGTGTGGTGTTGAGCGGTGTGGTGTTGAGCGGTGAGTGGTGTGGTGTTGTGTTGAGCGGTGTGGTGTTGAGCGGTGAGTGGTGTGGTGTTGTGTTGAGCGGTGTGGTGTTGAGCGGTGAGTGGTGTGGTGTGGTGTTGAGCGGTGTGGTGTTGAGCGGTGAGTGGTGTGGTGTGGTGTTGAGCGGGGTGGTCTTGAGCGGTGAGTGGTGTGGTGTTGTGTGGTATTGAGCGGTGTGGTGTTGAGCGGTATGGTGTTTAGCGGTATGGTGTTGAGCGGTGAGCGGTGCGGTGTGGTGTTGTGTGGAGCGGTGTGATATTGTGCGGTGTGTTATTGTACGTTGCGGTGTCATGCGGTACGGTGTGAGCAGGGGACCGGCCACCAAGCGCGAGAAGCGGATGAGCTACGCCGACTTTGTGTGGTTTCTCATCTCGGAGGAAGACAAAAAGACCGCGACGAGGTGAGGCGTCGTGTAAAACGAATTCAACAAATGTAGCAGCAACAGAAATGCTCGTGCACCGTTGTCTGTGTCGTGTCCACGCGTATGCACGTGCGTGCGTATACATTATTGCGTTCGTGTGCTCGTATGCACGTTTGTGCTTGTGCGCGTCCGTGCGCCAGTGTGGAGTACTGGTTTCGCTGCATGGACCTGGACGGCGACGGCGTTCTGTCCATGTACGAGCTGGAGCACTTCTACGGCGAGCAGTGCGCGCGCATGGACAAGCTCGGCATCGAGCCCCTGCCGCTCAGCGACTGCCTCTGCCAGATGCTCGACCTCGTCAAGCCCCAGGTGGAAGGTTCGTGTTGTCTTTTGCGAATCTCTTTTGCCGTGCCGACCGCGCCGTTGGTCGGGCTGTCGTGTCACGTGACGAAGCGTCCGTTGGGAGCGCTCGCAGGGCAGCCGCCGACAGAAGCGGATATCGTAGAGCTGCCTCCGAGATGCCGACAAGTGACCTGCGATCGGCACGCGCTGGGGGGGCGGCACCCTCCCCACCCGCTCGCTCTGCCACGAAAGTCTCATGGGTAGTCGCAGGAGGGTGAAACTGATATTTGTAATTCTGACAGTGCAAATATTTGTAAACTGAACTGCTTTTAAATTTCGATGTAAAGCTTTCGTGACTGCAGGGATTCATCTTCTTGGTTCTTTCGGTAAAGTCACGTAGAAGGGAGATAATAAAATAATGGAAATGAAACATAATAAAATAATACAATACAATTATATACAATACAATTATATTATTTTATTATGTTTTATTTTTATTATTTTATTATCTCCCTTCTACAAGACTTTACCGAAAGAACCAAGAAGATGAACTGCTTTTGTTGTTTAGTTTGTTGTCCTTACCCCGCACCTCCGATTATCATGGTTGGCTGCGTACGGTGCAAAAAGACATTCCTGCGGAGGGAGCTGGTAGGAACGTTGGGTTGCTCGGTCAACGGCCAGGGTCAACGGCGGCGTGGTGTATTCCGCAAATATGGCCGACTGTGAGGGCGGGCACAAGCCGGCGTGAGTAAGTTAAACGTTGAGTTTTATAAGGGCACCACGAGGTGACCAGCCCCTCCCCACCCAGACCCTCCCCACCCTCCCCTCCCAACCCAGCCCCTCCCTCCCTCCCCACCCAGCCCCTCCCCACCCTCCTCACCCAGCCCCACCCTCCCCACCCTCCCCTCCCCACCCCACCCAGCCTCACCCTCCCCACCCAGCCCCTCCCTGCACAACGGACACAATGATCCCCTGTGGACTGATGTAACCAGAAGGTTCCTACCAGTACAAGTTCAACAATACAATGTGACCTGGACTGAGGCTGTCAACTCACCAGACTCGAGAATCGGGTTTGATCAGATGCGACTGAAAGCCGGATTCGAACCCAGGATCTCTGCAGTGGTCAGCTCATGACTCAAGCCACCTCTGAACAACTCGGCCGCCTTGGGAGATTTGTAAATTTTTTTCCCGTTGAAATGTTTTTGTTATCGTCTTGGTGCTCCCCCGTCCCCAGGCAAAATCACGCTGAAGGATCTGAAGCGGTGCAGAATGGCGTACGTCTTCTACGACACGTTCTTCAACCTCGAGAAGTACCTGGAGCACGAGCAGAAGGACCCCTTCTCCGTCCAAAAGGTATCGCGATGCAATTGAGGAGACTGATCGTCGGCTTGCTGTGGCCTGCGGACTGTTTTCGGCTGCTGCTCTGCTGCCAATTCCTTTGGCTTCATATTCTTGGTTCTGTCGGTAAAGTAACGTAGAAGGGAAATAATGAAATAATAGAATATAGAACAATAAAATTCTCACGACGTTTCCATTGCAACACAATCATCATCAGGTGTATTGTTGTATTTTTATTATTTTATTATTTGCCTTCTACGTGACTGTACCGTAAGAACCAAAAATATTAATCCCTGCAGTCACGAAAGCTTCAAATCGAAATTCCTCGGCTTGCGATCGGTGTTGACAAATCGGCAAGAATTTCTGCGCTTGTGCAATTTGTACTTTGCGTTCTTTATTTGTGTTTAGCAGTCGTTTTTGTTTTAGCGGCTTGCTCACCTACCTCCTCTCAATCTCGCGCCTACATCGTACAGCTTGTTGATGTAACTCGCTGACCCGCCCCGACTGGACACATTCATGATAAAGAACTTCACTGCTCAGTGGGATCCCTCCAGGATAAATACGGATCTTGATTCTGAACTCGCCCGCCTCGCACGCCCGCAACCAGCGCAAGCTTGCGAGCCGGTGCTCTCGAGGTGCCTGCGTACACTACCTAACGACCGCCTTTGAGACCACCCCACGTGCTTCGCGCCGGCGTTAATAGGTGCTCGATAATAGCGATTGCCCCAACAGTGTCTTATGGCTATACGGGGGATCTTTTTAGGGGTAGCTGTAGTGTAGCGGTTAGTGCACTGCACTACGAACCCAGTGATCCGAGTTCGATTCCCGGTCACGGCCAACATCAGTGACAATTATATGAACCGGGCCTTGGCCCTCCCCTAGGTCGACTCAACCTTGAATAATTACGTGGTACAGTGTATAAGTGTATAAACATCGCCACTGGGGATGCAAAGGCGTTCGGGCGTGGTGCTGGCCACCCACCCCCTCGTGTGCCATCGCGGCCTTCAGATGTGCTCGCTAACAGCACTTGGCGTCAACAGTCTGTTAAAGATTATACGGTGGGGTGGGATCTTTGTCTCTGTCTCGTGTGTGTGTGTAGGAGGCAGATGGGGAGGTGCCCGAGTCCTCGGACTGGGATCGCTACGCCGCAGAGGAGTACGAGATCCTGGTCGCAGAGGAGTCGGCAAACCAGCGGATGCAGGCCATGTGAGACACAGAGACTCACGCAGCAATAATTTTGATGTTTAACACGTAGGCTTTCGCGACCAATATTATTCATAATAAAGGTTTTTTGGGTTAGATCGCCTAAGTATAAATGTGTCGTAACCCTCCACCACCCGACTGAGCCAGTAAGGTTTGTCACTTAAACAACGCGTTAATTAGTTCACTACTTCAGAGTGTAAATCCACAACATTTACAATTTACTTTCAAACACACCGGTGGGCTAAAGTAGTAACTAAATGGTGTGTTATAGTAGTAGGTTTTTACCCTTTCAACTGGTACAAAAACTTGACACCTTTATACAAGGGATCATGTTTGCAATAACCACAGCACAAGCAGTCAAAATGCAAACAAAAAGAAACAACTTTGATAATGATATGCACTGTCCTTGAAGTTGATTGGTCCACACCCGAGACAGCTTTTCTTAGAGCCTAGTCTCCATTGGTGTTGGACCAGATAACGCCAAAAGGCGTACAACTCAAAAAACAGTGCACCATCAGAGTATTGAGAGCTCGGGGTAAGCATTTACACTATGAGACCTCCTTTACCAGTGGCAAAATATAGTAAAAGGTTTTTACCCTTTCAACTGGTCAGTTTTTGTACCAGTTGAAAGGGTAAAAACCTATTACTATATTTTGCCACTGGTAAAGGAGGTCTCAGTGTAAATGGCGCGTTGTTTACGTGACAAACCTTACTGGCGGTGTCGGGTGGTGGAGGGTTACAACACATTCATACGTCCGCGATTTCACCCACAAACCTTCATTGTGAATAATTATGATGTCAACCTGTACCCTGGCCGCTAACCACCGCCCCTACAGAGAACCACCCACTAAAGGATATCATATAACTACTTCTTAAATGACCTGTGATTGACACGCTAGAGGGCAGCACCCTCCCAACCCGCTTGCTCTGCCATGAAGAATATTTGTTCGTTGTAGGAGGATGAAACCAATAATTTCAATTCTGATGGCATTAATGTTTTCAACGTGCTGGGGTTATGTATTTTGTTGTTTGTGCAGTCATTGGTTTCTTCCCTGACAATGATAACTCATCAGCCTCGAGACTCCAGGTTGATCAGCACGATCCCATTCTCAAGAGCTGGAATTTAGCCAAACAGAGTGCAAATTAAGTGAAGAACCAATTTTGATGTGTGGGTTTTTTTTTCGTCCAAATCTTTGGTGACTGGGCCACAACCAACAACACTTACAACCCTGATTTAATCACAGGTCTCTTTTTGGATTTGAACCCTAGATCCTCAGCGTTGCCGGCTGGACAGAGCCAGCCGGTCACTGTGTCTGATGATGATGATGATGATGTTGTCGTCGGTGGTGCTGGTGGTGGTGTTGTGGTGCTGCAGTGGAGAGATGTTAACTACCTCGCCTGGTATGCAGGAAGTCGTGGGTTCTATACCGACCCTGACTACTGCTGTATATATGGAGTTTGTGTGTCTCTCTCCCCGTGGTCGCGTGGATTTTTTTCCGGTCCCTCCGGGTGTTTCCCTACCATACATTTCCACGCGATAAGCCACTTCGTTGGGCTATTTATTTGTGGCCAGGTCACTCTGAAAAAGTGCGTCAGAGTTAGGGTTATGGCTAAGATTAATTGTCAGGGTTAAAGTTATCATTTGCAAGCTATGACTGAGCTTAAAACTCCATTCAGAAACAGAGTTACGATTATGGGCCTTACTTGGTAAAGTAAGAAAACAACTTTTTGTTTAGTTTTAGTTTGTAACAGTTTGCTGGTTTGTTTGTGCAGCTCGTACGAGGAGGACCTGGAAGAGGCGTTGCTGGGAAAGCAGGTCGGGCGGCTAACCCTGAGCGACCCTCCCAACCCAAGCACGCGCTTCAGCGACGACCAGTACGAGTACGACGACGACTTCGAGTACTGAACGCGACGACATCGCCCTCCCGTGTCCCTTCCCTGCCCGTCTGCCCGCACATCCGTCCGTCCGTCTGTTCATATATTTGCCGGTCTGCTTGTCGATCCAACCATTCATCCATCCGTGTGTACATTCTTAAGTTTCTTCCGTATTCTTTAGGTCCATCTGTCCTGCCTATTAATTCGTCCATCTTTTTGTCGGTTATCTTGTCCGCCTGTAAATCTTCATACACATCAGCTTGCCTGTCCATATTGACTGAATACCAAAAGGCTAAACACTTTGTGTGCGTGTGCGTCTCTATCTTTCTGTATCTGTCACTTTCACAAACTCTCACCGTCTCGCTGTCCTTTGTACAGCTCTCATTGGCAGAGACTCTTTCACACCGGATTCTTTCTCTAATCCATGCATTTGTACATAGACCACAGAGGACTCTGCAGGTCACGCTGAGGTTAGGCTCTCTCAAGCCAAACCAAACAGGGCCGAGCACAGCCTTCGCTTCTACCGGTGGCTAGTCCCATTGAAGCTCAGCACTGTCCAGGCACAGTGAGCAAATTGGTAGCCCCTTGCTGTGATGTGTTGACGCCCCAGCGGCGTCTCAGCGTTTTCCCCCCCGGCTTGGCCGTGCTAAACCGGGCTAAAATTGATGACGCAGCGCTAAGCAAGATGAGGGCCGGCTTTTTATAGGCGTTGGGCTATGCTGGGCTGGTTCTCAGCGTTGCAGAGTTAACGTGTTTTAATTAACCGTGTGTTAATGTGATCGGATCGCCAAAGCCCAGTGTGTGTAATCCTGTGTTATTACTCTTTAGGGTGTTGTTTTTTTGTATGTGATCAGATCATGGTTAGGTAGCATGTAGCGGTCAACTACTTCTTGTGATTACTTTCATTTTGATAAATTCGTAAGTGTCAAAATAACAATTACAATGGGGGGGGGGGGGGTATGATGGGGGGGGGGGGGTCAGCAGCTGGGACGAATGAGAGCACAGCAGCAGCCACAGCATGCACATCACACCACACACGGCCCGCAGTCACATCACGGGTTCTCTTACTTTGAACCCTGATGTCTATTGAAAGCAATGTGTCGTGCGACGAATTCACCCGGTGCTGCGAGTTTTGCGATGCAAAAGCACGCGGGATTGAGTCGCGTTACTTCTGAAACCTCAATCAAGTCTGGCAATCGCACCGACTCCTATTCCAGAATCACTCTTCCCATCTTGGGCCGGCCTCTCGCTCGCCCACATCGACCTGAGATGGCTCCGGTTGGCCCAGGACGCAAAGTGTAGTAGCTATACTGGGCTGGGCTCGGTTTGTAGCTTTGGCCCGTGTGTAGCATGGGCACTTTTTTAATTTTTAAGTTTGGTTTCTGTGTTTCGTTTCTGTTCCGGTCGTACATTAAACTAACGGTAAAGTTTTTGTCCAACTCGGAATATCCCAAACCTCCGCCGTGACCACCAGGTCCAAGCATCGTCGACCGGGTTTTGCACAATGAGTGCCAGTTGTTTTTTTTTGGGGGGGGGAGGGGGTGGTTGTGGGTTCACTTAACAATCGCGCTTTTAAGGCGCGGGCTTGTGAGCGAGGGTTGTGTGGACTCATGGCTGTTGGCGATAGTAGTAGCAGTAGTAATAATATTAATGAGTGCTAAGACGATTGTAATGGATGTAATTATGTGCACATCATCACAGCTGTAATATGTATACACACAGACACGTGCACGCGTGCTATGCAACACTTGTGCCGAGTGTTTCTGAACACTTAATCCTCTGTTGAGGTGGGGTTATATGTGAAAATTATATTTTAATGTAGGCCAATGCTGCCTTAGCGCACTGTGCCTCTGCATTCGACACAGAAATAGCACGTTGTTTTGGCACCGGGGAATAGCACAAATGCCACATGTCCCGCCTATTCAAAAACAACTCTACTCCGGTTGCGACGTACCGACGTAACGCATTTTGGCGGTCTTTATACCTCTCCCCCTGCGCGTTGTCGCGGTGGTTCGTGCCGCCATCGTTTGAAACCCACCGCATTAGCGGGCTGTGCCATTCCTTCGCGTAGGGGTGACAAGTTTGCGGAACACCACGGCGGGTGGCGGGCGGGGGGGGGAAATTTGCTACCCGTGGTGGCACGGGATGTTCTTGATAACGTTGCATCGTCAGCCTTTGAAAATAAAAGTGAATTTAAAAAATACAAAAAAGGGGCAGAGCTTCTTCAATAACGTTGGGGTTTCAATTATTTTAAACATGTAAGTAGTGCAGACCGTTACGATAAAATGAGACTTGTGATGCAAACGAGGCCCGTGCCCATGCAGTTTCGCAAACATTTTACGCCTGAGCTAACTTGACGGTCGTGTTCGTCACGAGGACGTTTCCACTGTGCCTGTCAACTTTTTTATAACGTTTCGTAAGCCGCGCTGAAACAACATTGCGTTTCGCACGTTTTCCGTGAGCACATTTCAATAAGTTCACATCATCATTATTATTAACGAAGACACTTGTAATGGACAAATACAACTTTTTGTTTTTCACACAAAAAAATTACCCAAACAAAAACTTCCAAGAGCTCACGTGACCCAGATGTCATTCTAACAACTGCTGTAACCTTTTGACCTTCTCACAACATCGTTTGCACGTTCCTTCCTGCGTTTTTTGAGTTTGAGTTTTTTCTCTCGTGATTGACCGTGCGATTGTTTGAAGCCTGTTTATAATTATTCATTTTTTTCCAATCGTACATTCCTGTGTGCTGTTCAAATTCTTTCCTGTTTCGCTCGTCCTGTGTGCATGTGCGCGCCCGCAAACACCTCGGACCGCTCGGCTGGTACATTCTCGCACACCGTTTCAATCACGTGGTGGAGTGGGTGGGGTGGGGGGGCGGCACACATTTTAAATGAGCGCAGTTTGTCCGAAGAAATTGAACTCGGGACGAAAAATGTATCCTCGATAGAGACATTTTGGAGTTCATTCCTGTCAAAAGTCTTGATACCCACAGACTGATGACGGGTTAACTTGACACTTTGAAAGAACTCCCAAACGTCTCCCCGAGTATACCGTCAGTGAGAGTTCCATTTGGTCCTGTAAACGTTTCCCACGGCCGAAATATTGGAATGCAACGTTGGCGTTTGCCGTGTGCGGAGGCGCCGTACTGAGACCAGCGGAGTCGAGGCAAAACCTCCCCCCCTGCTCAAATCTGAGTGCAAAGCGGTACCCATCTCCGTTGGTGGCCCCTGGGGGGGGCCTGCGGTGGACATTACACATTCACATGGCGGGGCCCAGTCTATCCATAGGAGAACCAGCTTTGAATCTGTGCAGAGGTTGAACTCGTTATATATCGAACGCAGAAGAACGACTCGCCTACACAAGAAATCGTCCCCTCCCTCCCCATGGTTTAGGCACTGAATGGGCCTGCTGGTTTCGAGTCAAACACTCGAACCACTATGCCACCCGGCTTGAAAGTTGCACAAAAAAGCGACGTCTCCTTATATCGATCAGTCAATCAGTCTGGACGTGCCAATATCTCTCTATCTCAATAAAGTAGGCATTGGTACCCGTTGTATGTATGTTGAGCTTCTTTCTGCGCATGGTACGTAGCCGACCGTGCTGAACGGGAACGGTACATGGGGCGTAGAGCGACGGGAATGAAGAGATTGCTACCTCGTAAGTTCGTGGCAACGTTTCGGAGGACAGGCGTGAGAGATGAGACCTGCGTTTTTTTTTGGGGGGGGGGCTGACTGCCGGGGGGGGGGGGCCGTTGCCTCTGAACGTTTAAAAGTTCGCCGGAGTTGTTCGGGTGCCGATGCTGATCGGCGAGCGTGCCCAGAGCATCGTTTTGCTCTTTCGAGGCTGTGAGCTCGTCAACAGAGGTCTGGAGACCACGCTTGCGATCGAAACGTTTGTTTTCGATTTGATAATATTGCATTTGGGTGACGCTGCTCCTGCTGCTGCGGCCGCATTGGCAGTGGCAGCGCGAGCACAATGAACAACGAATGTCAACACCTACTCGTCAAGAACACTGCCTTAAAAAAATTACAAATATATAATCGGTGACGTTTCGGGCAGTTGCCCTTCTTCACAAGTAACCCATCACAGCACATAAAGAACGACCATTGCCACAAAACGTTACGTGATTACTTGAAAAAAGCTATCTTTTAAGGCAGTGTTGTCGATTGATTTTTTTTTCCTCCAAGTGGATGCATGGGAGTCACGATGCACTTGCAATTCAAATGAACGTTTGTATTTTATTTTTCAAATGTGTGTGTGCGTGTTCATGTGACCCTTGGGTGCAATGGTCTTGCCAAGGCCTGGCAACACATCCTGTGTGTGAGCAAAGTGTTGCCTTGCAGCAGTTTGGCTCGACGGAATCGCTTCTCATCCCCCAGCACCACTTAACGACGACTCACACGACACTCACTGCGATCAGATCTACAACTTCTATATTATAAGCCTAGAGGTTCTACTCGTGGTTAAACAGGAATACCATAACGTTTAGGAGAGTGCTGGCAAAATGTCTGCACATATTAAAAGGGTCGCATGTCCGTTGTACAGTATTCTATTGCAATCAAATAAAATAAAAACATCTAGCAAATCTTCTTTCGTATGGCAAAAGACGTCAAATCAAACACACGTCAACCGCTTCAAGTCGGCACATGGCATCACAAAGCAATGCATTCATCGACTCTCACACTACAGCAACGCCTCGGAGTGCGTTCTCAATTCCTCCAATTCAATCGTCGGTCCGTCCGTCCGTCCGTCCGTGCCGCGTGACGAGGTCCTTCACCGCGACGGCGTCATTTTGCCGCGGTTAACGGAGACCGGGCGGCCGTTAGACGCTCCGCGCCCCCCACCTTCCCCGTGGAATTCGGCGCGAGTAGTGTGCCGATCTTGCTACGGTAAGATTCGTTCGAATAATCCTCGACCAGAGAGAGAGGGCCTGGAGCGGTGGCGGCAGGGAGCTCCTGACGTGATCGTGGCCAAGCAGCGGCCCCCTCGTCACGTGCCACCACGTCTGGCCGCCCGGTTCGTTTTGGGTTTTTTTCTTTCTCCCAGAGCGGCCGACGCGTTCCCGGCACGCCGATAGGGCGTCGCTCAGTCGACGGCAGATTCCTGGAGGAAAACACGAAATGGTGACGACAAGCAAGCAAATGGTTGCTTTTTTTATTTTTCTTTCGGCCGTTTTGTTTTTGAGGTGCCTTTTGCGTTCGGCATTTACATGTAATTGTTCGTAGCCTAGCGCGGTGGAGTCTTTAATTTAAAGAAAAGCAAATCATCTTTGGTTCTCGGCTCTTGGAGCAAAATGGTCCGTCTTTCCGCGGTGAATATTTGCTGGGCGATTATCTGCATCCGTTCGATCCAGAAAACGACATCAGGTCGATTGGAAATGCTCAAAAAGTATTGTGATTCCACATCTGCGATTGCGTCAAATATGGGAATTGTAATTGCTCAGCCCCTTGGCAATACGCTGAAGGCCTCACTGCACCGTGTCGATCGTGGGAATGATTGACCATACTTCACCACGTTGGTCAGTATGGGTCGGTGATGTTGAGGGTCCCGGGACCCTTTTAAGAGGTCACTGCCCACTCGTTATGGTTTGGGTTGTAGTACTGTGCAACATCGTAGTAATTGAAGAACATTGCAATGTAGAGACATATAGCATTGAACAATTGCGTAGTGTTCATGAAAGCCTTAGTCTCACTTGAATCGAACAATTCAGCCGTATTGAGCAATCGCCATGGCCACCAAATGAATGCCACCGAGAGCTGAGCGAATACGACACTTAAAGCAATACCACGTGCACTGCGATATCCGAGAGCATGGAGCCAAATTATGTGTTTTTGCTTCTTAAGTTATAGCTGGTATAGTTGTGATACACACAATGTATTTCTGTATCAACGTGTGAATAGAACTCCACGTTTAGGCTTTCCTATATCGCCCGGTACCAATGTTCACGTGCCAGCAGGTGCAATGCCCCTTGTTAGCGGGGACGTGGAAACATGAGACGGAGTACAGCTCAAGAGGATTGGGGGGGGGGGGGGGTTGAGGAAACGCTGATATTTCTGGAACTCTGTGAGCAGCCGTAGACTTGTGCCGTTGTCAGACTGCTCGTAATGTGTGCGGAGAATGCTGGCGGGCAATGAGGAAGAGTGATGGGATAAATAATTGAAGGGGGGCTGTACATCCTAAAGGAACGTTTGTCCACTCCGGTCCTCGCGACCAATCCCCCCCCACCGGTCCACGTCTTTCTTGGTGACCAGCCTTGTCTATTCCGTACGTGAACTAAGCCCACTGCGAACGCTTGCACGCACGTGATGGTTGGTGATGACGGAAAGCTGGATTACCGTGGGGCGTTGCGACCGACTGGAGTGGAGTCTAACGTTGTCCAAAAGGGCTGTGTGGCTCACTCCTGTCGTCGTGTGGATGTGTACGTGCCTTGATTTGTGTAAATAGTGAACTGTAAAGAAAAAGGATGTTTAAAAAAAAAAGTGTTTTCGTTGGTTTGCGTATTAAAAAAAGGTCTTGACTCCCAAGAGACTGTGCCTGGTCATTCCGAAGGGTTAGCTCTGAGAGTTTCATCATGTCCACGTGTTGACGACTGGAGGTCTTCTTCTCCTTGGTTCTTTCGGTAAAGTGACGTAGAAGGGAAATAATAAAATAATAAAAATAAAACATAATAAAATACAATTCTCACGACGTTTCGGCCACAACGCAAGCAGCCGTCCTCAGGTGAAGAACAGGTCTGTCGGAAAGACAGCGTCTGAATGAACACCACCAAGCTTTGCCCGTTATAACGTGGAATGCGTTTCCTGTTATAACGTGGAATGCGTTTCCCGTTATAACGTGGAATGCGTTTCCTGTTATAACGTGGAATGCGTTTCCTGTTATAAGGCGGTTTCTGAGCGGTCGGTGACGAATCCGTGTCTTGAGCTTCGCGGCCGTGGCGGTGGTGACACAGAACACGGAATGATGCAGTGACGCAGCGGCGAATCGTCAGCTGATTGCCCGGTCGTCTCGCTGTGCGTGTCGCAGTTAGTGCGCCGTATCTCGACAAACGTTATCGTTACGTTTTTTTTTGTTTCGTGGGCAAATTGCTAGTTCGCTTCACGCAACGTTTTCGCCGAGCCTGCGTCACGTGTCAGGAACGTATCTCATCATCATGGCTTGGCTTCGCGAACGAAGATCTAGGAAGGACATCCACGTCTTCTGCAGGCACGCTGGTGGCTGAAGAGGCCTATGCGGGACAGGCAGGTCCTGCCACAACAGCTGCAAGTGAAGGTCTCATCTGGGATGGGTGCTGAGGGATCACGGTTCTTCCTCCTCCTTTTGTCCTCCATACGGGCCCTGCGGGTATCTTCGAAGAAGGAGGTGGCCTGGTGGACTGTGTGCCGCCAGGAGTTGCGATCAGCTGCTTGTGTTGCCCACTGACGGTGATCGATGCAGCAAGCAGTGAGGGACTTCTTCAGGGAGTCTTTGTATCGCTTTCGTGGTGCCCCTATGTCGCGATGGCCAGAGGACAGTTCCCCATACAGCACAATCTTAGGCAAGCGGTGGTTCTCCATCCTGGCGATGTGCCCTGCCCAACGAAGCTGTGTCTTGAGGACCATGGCCTCGATGCTGATGACCTTCGCTGACTTGAGGACTTCAGTGTTGGCGACGAAGTCACTCCAGTGAATATTGAAGATTGTGCGGAGGCAGCGCTGATGGAAACGCTCGAGGAGACTCAGGTGACGACGGTACGTGACCCATGACTCAGCGCCATACAGGAGAGTGGTCAGCACAACAGCTTTGTAGACGTTGACCTTTGTGGCTCTTTTAAGGTTTCTGTTGTTCCAGACACGTTTGTATAGTCTGCCAAATGCACTGTTTGCCTTGGCCAGCCTGTTGTCGACTTCGTTGTCGATCTTGGCGTCAGACGAGATGACGCACCCCAAGTAGCTGAACTGGTGGACAGCTTTCAGTTCTGTTTGTTCAATGAAGATGCTTGGTGGATGGTGCTCCTCCTGGGGTGCGGACTGATAAAGAACTTCAGTCTTCCTCAGGCTGACTTCAAGGCCGAAGATCTGAGCTGTTTTCGCGAAACAGGACGTAATTCGCTGCATAGCTGCCTCTGTATGAGCAAGGAGGGCGGCATCGTCAGCAAAAAGCAGCTCCCTGATCAGTTGCTCCATGGTCTTTGTGTGGGCCTGCAAACGCCTCAGGTTGAACACGCTCCCGTCGAGACGAAAACGGATGTATACGCCATCAGCGTCGTCGAGGTCCTCTGTGACCTGCTGGAGCATCGTGCTGAACAAAATGGTGAACAGCGTGGGAGCAAGAACACAGCCCTGTTTCACGCCGTTTGCAATAGGGAAGGGCTGCGAGAGATTGTTGCTATGTCTGACTTGTCCAAGCTGGTCTTCATGAAGCTGGACGATCATGGTGAGGAACTTCGGTGGGCAGCCTAGCTTGTCCAGGATTTTCCAAAGTCCCTGCCTGCTCACGGTGTCAAACGCTTTTGTCAGGTCCACAAAGGTGACGTACAGTGCTTTGTTTTGCTCCCGGCACTTTTCCTGAATCTGTCTCAGGACAAACACCATGTCTGTGGTTCCCCGGTTGGCTCTAAAGCCACACTGGGTCTCTGGGAGGTGATCTTCAGCTATTGCGGGTACCAGTCTATTCAGCAGTACTCTTGCGAGGATTTTGCCGGCGACGGACAGAAGTGTTATGCCACGATAATTGGAACAGTCTGATTTCTCCCCTTTGTTCTTGTACAGGGTGATGATGACTGCATCTTTGAGATCTTGAGGGAGTTTACCCTGCTCCCAGCAGCAGACGAAGAATTCATGGAGTTTGGTGTGAAATGCTGGGCCTCCGTTCTTCCATACTTCAGGAGGGATGCCATCGACTCCTGCAGCTTTACCACTCTTCAGCTGTTTAATGGCTTCCTCAGTCTCTTGTAATGTTGGTGCCACATCCAGTTCGGTTTTCACTGGTTGTTGTGGGATGCGGTCAATCGCTGGTTCTTGGACTGAGCGGCTAGCATTGAAGAGCGTGTAGAAGTGCTCAGACCAGCGGTTCAGGATTGAGTCCTTTTCAGTGAGCAGTTTGTTCCCGTCTGCACTCCGCAGGGGGCTCAGGATTTGGTACGAGGGGCCATATACCGCTTTTAGGGCTTCGTAGAATCCCCTGTAGTCGCCAGTATCAGCGCAAACCTGAGTTTTTACTGCGAGGTTGGTCCACCACTCGTTCTGAATCTCTCGAAGCTTGCGCTGGATGGTGCTGCATTCCAGGCGGAAGGCTGCTTTTTTGTGCGGGCAGGATGGTCGGGCCAGGTGGGCCTGGTGTGCTGATCTCTTCTTTGACAGCAGCTCCTGGACTTCTAAGTTGTTCTCATCGAACCAATCTCTGTTTTTCTTCGTGGAGAATCCGAGGGTATCTTCAGATGTTTGCAGAACAACAGTTTTGATGCGGTCCCACAGCACTTCAGGAATCGGAGGCGAGTCTCCTAGGCAGCTCGGTTCCTCTAGCCTAGATCGTAGGCTTTTCTGGAAAGCTGCTTTGACCACGGCAGACTGAAGGCTGCAGACTTTGAGCTTCTTCCTCGGGGCGCCACCGTTTCTTGGTCTGGGTTTAAAGTGAAAGCTGAGTTTGCAGCGGACAAGACGGTGGTCTGTGTGACACTCGGCGCTGGGCATTACCCTGGTGTGAAAGACATCTTTTAGGTCACGCTGGCGCACAAGGATGTAGTCTATGAGATGCCAATGTTTTGACCGAGGGTGCATCCAGGTTGTTTTCAGACTGTCTTTCTGCTGGAAGATGGTGTTGGTAATGGAAAGCTGCTGTTCCGCACAGAGTTCAAGTAACAAGCGTCCATTGTCGTTGCAGCTGCCCACACCGTGCCTTCCAAGTACGCCTTTCCAGGTTTCCGAGTCTCTGCCCACTCTGGCGTTGAAGTCGCCAAGGATGACAATCTTGTCGTCAGCTGGGATATCCTGCAGAAGGCTGCGTAGGTCGGAGTAAAACTTGTCTTTATCAGCGGGATCTGCCTGGAGAGTTGGAGCGTACACACTGAGCAGCGTTGCGTGTTGCTGGTCACGAAGTGGTAGACGCATTGAGATGATGCGGTCAGAGTGACCAGTTGGCAGGCTTGCAAGCTTGGTAGCGATAGAGTCCCTGATCATGAAGCCGACACCTGAACGGCGTCTCTCTGTCGCTGGTTTACCTGACCAGTAGAGAGTGTAACCTGCGCCATGCTCCCTCAGACTCCCTTCCTCTGAAAAGCGGATTTCGCTGAGGGCGGCGATGTCAACATCCAGCAGAGCGAGTTCGTGTGCAATTAGAGCAGATCGTCGCTCAGGTCGAGTGCTGTCAGCTGAGTCTAGCATGGTTCTGATGTTCCAGCATGCGAGTTTGAGTCCTTTCCCACCTTTTAAGGCGAGTGGGATGCGCCGTCGATTCTTTGATGTAATTCGACCGCATATGAAGATGCCCGTTGACCGCGGTAAGCCAACTGAGGGAGGAGGAGACGAGCTTTGTTTAGGCCACCTTTTCTAGGCCCCTCTCCGTGTGGAGCAAGCAGTGCTGTCCCTAGAAAAGGCTGCTTGGTCGCTCAGGGTGCTGCCGGGTGATGATGTCGTTTCCAGGTCATCATCAGACGACCACTTGCGCCTGAGCCGCCTGCATGCAGGATTGAGACTGCGGCTGCCAGTGTCATCTTACACCTGCCGAGTTCGCCCCTTTCCCATCGCTACAGGACTTAGTGAGACCGGGGGGGGGGGGGGGGTAGACGTGAAGATTTCCTTCTTGCCTGCGCAAAGGAGCTTTCAAGTGGAGTGCAGTGTGCGCAGAACTGACCCCACCCTTTAAACCCGGGGTTCGTCTGCCATGGCCTAGCAAGCTGGGACGGTGACAGCGAGGTCCTCGGGCCGTAGGTTTTACATCAGAGTTTCCTTCTCCTAGGTAGACGGCCTTCCAAGGCTGAAGAGATCCACCTTCCCTGCTATTTCAAACCATAGCTGGTAGGCCACAGCCGCAGTCCACAGTAACGAAGTGGCGCGCCTTATTCCCGAACACTTGGCCGTTGGGTCCTAACGAAACCCTTCCGCCCTGGCCGGTGACTCCGTCGTGGGAGTTCATTCGCCCAGTGATGCAGTGTTGACATCACCCCCTCACGTCGTTTAGCCCGCCAGCTGAAGCGGTTTACCGGGGTGTGGCACTAGGAGCCAGACGTCAGAGATTTAGGAGATGGATGAGGACCAGTGTTTCCGTCCACTCAAAAATTGAGTGCAGCTACCAGAAAACAAAGGTACTACCTCTACCCAGAGCTCCCTACACCCCTAGGAACGTATCTACCACCGCGTTAAACGAGGAATTCTCCCCGCCTGCATTTGTTTATCCCATCACTCTTCCTCATTGCCCGCCAGCATTCTCCACACACAGCACGAGCAGTCTGACAACGGCACAAGTCTACGGCTGCTCACAGAGTTCCAGAAATATCAGCGGTTCCTCAACCCCCCCCCCCAATCCTCTGAGCTGTAACTCCATCTCATGTTTCCACGCCCAAGCTAACAAGGGGCATTGCACCTGCTGGCACGTGGACATTGGTACTCCTTCCCTTGCTTCGTCCCGCCTGCTACCCTCTCGCGTCTCACGTCTCCTCCTATTCCTGTGCTCGGAGACGTCGGTCACGTTGTGGGCGGCATTATAAACGCAGGTTGCGTGCAACAAGTCCACGCGTGCGAGGGACCACCACTCCATCCCCGTACAGATGGATACAGATGGGAGATTGGTCAACATTCTGGCAGAGCCACGGTCCGGTACAGTCTTCGGAACGCCCACCGACGGGAAGGAATTTTCACAACGAAGCTAAACTTTTTTTTAGTTTAGGGGCCGTCCATAAATGACGTCACGCACCGAGAGGGGGGGGGGGGCAGACGTTTGTGACGATGTGTGACGAGGGGGGGGGGGGTGAGAAATGTGACGTCACATCAAAATGCGCAACTTTAAATAAATGTAGACAACACGTTCTACTTAATTAATTAGACTTTTTAATAAATGTTTTCTCCTACAACATCAGAGTGCAGCGCCACATTAAATACGCACTACAATGACAATAGTATAACGCGATTTGAAGCATGTATTTTTTTGGGGGGGCAGAGCTTTGTGACGTCATATTTGAGGGGGGGTCTGACTTTTTGTGACGCCGTGTGACGAAGGGGGGGGGGGTCTAAAATCATCCAAAATCGCGTGACGTCATTTATGGACGGCCCTTTACCAGGTACGGCCCACTGAGCTATGAGCTCTTGTTTGTTTAGAAGAGACCTGCAGCCAGATACTCTAAACGCGTGATGTTGATTCCTAAATGTAGAGGGAGAACCCGGTTGAAAGACCAACGCGACCACGGGGAGAGAGAGACACGAAACTCCAAAATATACAGCAGGCGTCAGGGTCGGGATCGAACCCACGGCCTCCTGTATTCCATGCGAGGTAGTTAACATCTCCTAGCCACCGTGATGATGAGAGAGACACGCAAACTACAAATATACAGCAGCAGGCGTCAGGGTCGGGATCGAACCCACAAACATCCTGTACACCAGGCGAGGTATTTATCATCTCCTAGCCACCGTGATGATGAGAGAGAGACACGCAAACTCCAAATATACAGCAGACATCAGGGTCGGGATCGAACCCACAACCTCATGTACACCAGGCGAGGGAGTTAACATCTCCTAGCCACCGCGGCAATCCACCAACGCTTACAGGCGTGATTTACGAGTACACTATATACACACACACAATGTTCCCATACAGTACTCTGCAATGTGTTGTTTACACAACGTGTTCGTTCGGGGCATATCGTTGCGAACCCGCGATGTGGAGGGGGGAGGGGGGCCTTGGCTGGGACGGTGTGGGGGTGGCGGGGGAGCCGAAGGGGTTTGTGATGTACCCGCGGTGACGCCGAGAGGGGTGCAGAGAACGACGAGGGGGTAGGGGGGGGGGAGACTTGGCGTTGGTTTCAGTCGCCTAGGACACCAGGTGGCTAAACAACCTGTGCAAGTGCTCACCTGCAAGCACAGTGCGATTCACACGCTACACACGCAACAAAGGTAAAGACCCCACCCACGCCGTGTAGCCTTCACAGACCGTTGGGGCAAGTGCTGTTAGCGCGCGTGAGCAGCCGCGCATTTAGCACCCAGACTGCGACTGCGTGAGCCGGCCAGGGGATCGGCCGTGGCGATTTGGGAGTGCGGAGTGGAGGGGGAAGGTAGCGCCATCGTATCATTGACCACAATTGTCACTCGGTTTTTTTGGAGGGTTTTCCTTCCCGGTCCGATTCACTTCTCCGGGGAAACTCAATCGGGAGCCGCGACGTTTCTCGAGTAGGTCGGGGTCGAGCACGTGCATCGCGTGGATCACGAAGATCACGAAGATCACGAAGATCACGTGGATCACGAAGACCGCGGCTCGGATCAGCAGCGGAGGTTGCGGTTGTCAGCGAGGTGTGTGAACGCTTCAGTAGGTGAGTCCTCTTACTCTTTGGTTCTTTCGGTAAAGTCACGTATACAGATAAAACAATAAGTTAAATAATAGCATACTAATAATAAGTTAAATAATAGCATACTATGCTAGTATTTTATTTATTATTTTATCTTTATACGTGACTTTACCGAAAGAACCAAAGAGTAATTCCTGCAGTCACGAAAGCTCCAAATTAAGATAGGTGAGTCCTCTCCGCACTTGTCGTTGGTTGATTACACTGGTCAACACACTTTTTCTGGCATAAGGTATTCTAACGGTTTTAATGTATCTTCTTGGTTCTTTCGGTAAAGGCACGTAGAATGGAAATAATACAATAATAAAAATAAAACATAATAAAATAATTCTCACGACGTTTCGGCCACAACGCAAGCAGCCGTCCTCAGGTGAAGAACAGGTCTGTCGGGAAGACAGCGTCTGAATGAAACACTACCAGGCTTGGAGCGTATTTTATAATGTTTTATTTTTTTATTTTATTATTTCCCTTCTACGTGACTTTACCGAAAAAACCAAGAAGATGAATTCCTGCAGTCACGAAAGCTTTAAATCGAAATACACAAAGAGTGAAAACACCACCCCCATCATCATCATAGTCGCGCTGCCGTCAAAAACCCAACAATGGTTTCAAATGCGTGGCGGCCACCTTCACGCTGATGATGTCTTATCAGCGAAAGTGCCGATAAGAAGAGTAGTGAAGAACGCTGCTTCAGAGTAGTTTTGCTGCTGTAAATTTACACTTCAGTCGCGGCCAGGTCGCTTCTGAAAAATATCTGCAAAGCCCAGTGGGCCTTACCTGGTCAAATAAATAAATCAAACAACACTCGATTGGCACTTCATGCCATTGCCGAGGTCTGCTCGCCGCCACGATGAAAGGGCTCCAGGTAGAGAGGTCGTGTCGTGTTGCTGTCCTCTCCGCCGTCGAAGGAGCGCAGACTCCAGTGAGTTATACTGGTAGGAACCTCCTGGTTACACCAGCACACAGGGGATTATTGTGTCCGTCGTGCAGGGAGGGGTTGGGTGGGGAGGGCAGGGCTGGGTGGGGTGGGGAGGGTCTGGGTGGGGAGGGTGGGTCTGGGTGAGTAGGGGATTGTGGGGAGGGGCTGGGTGGGCAGGGTGGGGCTGGGTGGGGAGGGTGGGGCTGGGTGGGGAGGGTGGGGAGGGGCTGGGTGGGGAGGGTTGGGAGGCGTTGGGTAGAGAGAGTAGGGCTGGGTGGGGGGTGCGAAGGGTGGGGCTGGATGGGGAGGGGCTGGTCACCCCGTGGTGCCCTTATAAAACTCAACGTTTAACCTACTCACGCCGGCTTGTGCCCGCCCTCACAGTCGGGCATATTTGCGGAATACACCACGCCGCCGTTGACCCTGGCCATTGACCGAGCAACCCAACGTTCCTACCAGCTCCCTCCGCAGGAGGAATGTGTTTTTAGGTCCGTAGTGTGGGTTGCACGGACACAATCGCACTCACTGTGGCTGTCTTTAAATTTCCACTAATGCAGGAGACGTGCGTATCGGCCCGTTGATATTGCAATGCGGTAGATGGTCACACCGGTGTCTTCGAGGAGGAATGTCGAAGCAAGGAGGAGGTGTGATGATGTTTGAGTCTCGAATGAGGTGGTGTTTATTCTGAACGCGCGCGTTGTTCCACTCTGTTGGCACGGCAGCGCCGTTCTTCCGGATATGGGTGAGACGCGCGTTTTAAGTATTTGGCAGCTTTGAATTTCCACGTTATAAGCCACATCGCTGAGCTATCATTTGTGGTGAGTTCGCATCTGAAAAACACACCTATATAATCACGTAGGTAAAAAAATTAAGTTAAAATTAATAAAAGTAAAATAACAATAAAATAAAAATCACGACGTTTCGGAGGCAACACAAGCTTCCGTCTTCAGGTGGAACCGTCACAACACGTGAGGTGGCTTTTAAATGAGTGAAATTATATCGCACATGATAGTCGATTGTGAATAATCACGCCGTGTGAATCCGCCAATATTAAATAACGACGATAAACTGTAAATCCATATGGCAACTGAGAACGATGTTAAATACATTTCTAAACTTGGTGATCTTTAACAATTCATACTCTTAGGTTTTTGTTTTCGGTAAAGTCACATAGGTAAAAAATAAAATTGAAATTAATAAAAGTAAAATAAAAATACAAGCTTGTGTTGCCTTGTGTTGCCTCCGAAACGTCGTGATTTTTATTTTACTTTTATTAATTTAAATTTAATTTTTTACCTACGTGACTTTACCGAAAAAAAAACCTAAGAGTATGAATCCTTGCAGTCACGAAAGCTTCAAATCTAGAATTGGATCTTTAACAATGTTGGTTTTCAAGAGTATCCAGCGAGCTTGAGAAAATTATCACAGCGTCCGTTGAATATTTCTTGTTCACTCGCCCTGCAGTTCCTAGCGAGTAGGAACAGCCTCGCAAAATGAACAATTGGGTGGAAATATTGACGTTCGTTAATTCGTACATTTATTCAAGATTTGAAGTTTTCGTGACTGCAAGGATCTATACGCTTTGGTTCTTTCGGCAAAGTCACGTCGGTGAAAAATAATCTTAAAAATAAAAATAAATAAAAGTAAATTAAATCACGACGTTTCGATTGCAACACAAGCAATCATCATCAGGTGTGAAAACCACAGCAAGAATTGTTTTACTGAAGTGGGAGAGATGCCGGAGTTAAGGAAGTTATATAAGTCAGAGAGGGGTTGGGGGAGGGATAGGGGGAGATAGCCACGTTGGCTCGGGCAAGCGGGGTACTCGGATGAAACTAAATTCAACAAAGGGGCGGCGTGCGTAGGGGGGGGGGGGGTAAACAGCAATAGCCAATTCTAGATTTGAAGCTTTCGCGACTGCAATGATTCATATTCTTAGGTTTTGTCGGAAAAGTCACGTAGGTAAAAAAATAAAATTTATAATAGTAAAATAAAAATAAAATAAAATTCACGACGTTTCGGAGGCAACACAAGCTTCCGTCTTCAGGTGGAACCGTCACAGCACGATAGCTGCATCAAGTAAGAAAAATTCCAAGAAAACAGTCCTTGTATATATACTGCTTGAGGGTGGGAGGAGCCAAGGTAGGCCCTGAATATTATTTTTGTGAGGTTCGGTGCGGCTGAAGCACGCTGTTAGGAATGAGCCTTTGTTGTGTAAACTAGCTGCGGCAGTAGCCAAACCACGTTGAGAATATCCACTGCCCGAGGCGGCAGGGCACACGAGCGGGCCTCTTGATATGCTAATTCCTTTGTCAAGGCGCCCAGCTTATATATATGCTCCAAGCTCGTGCGCTGTTTCATTCAGACGCTGTCGCCTCGACAGACCTGGTTTTCACCTGAGGACGGCTGCTTGCGTTGTGGCCGAAACGTCGTGAGAATTATTTTATTATGTTTTATTTTTATTATTTTATTACATCCCTTCTACGTGACTTTACCGAATGAACCAAGAAGATGAATCCCTTCGCCCATCAGGTGATGTCAGACCCCGGAGCTGTCCACCCGGTGGTGCTGAACGTGGGCGGCACGAACTTCTCATCCTCAATGGCCACGCTCACGCGGTACCCGGACTCGCTGCTCGCTCGCCTCGTGCATCGCGGCACCCACGGACAGGTTGGTGGCGGAGACCCCAGACAGCGAGCGTCACGGTGGCGAGGGGATGTTAACTCCCTCGCCTGGTATACAGCAGCAGCAGCATCTCTGTTACCCATCTCTGCCCTGTGCTGTGTCTGGGAACCAGGACAGCCACAACAGCAGCAGCAGTAGCATCTCTGTTGCCCATCTCTGACCTGTGCTGTCTCTTGGGATCAGCAAGAACAGCAACAACAGCAGCATCTCCGTTACCCATCTCTGACCTGTGCTGTATCTAGGGATCAGGACAGCCACAACAGCAGCAGCATCTCTGCCCTGTGCTGTGTCTAGGGATCAGCAACAGCAGCAGCAGCAGCAGCAGCTCTGTAACCCATCTCTGTCCTGTGCTGTCTCTATGGATCAGGACAGCCACAGCAGCAGCAGCATCATCTCTGACCCTGTGCTGTGTCTAGGTATCAGCAACAGCAGCAGCAGCATCTCTGACCCTGTGCTGTGTCTAGGTATCAGCAAGAACAGCAACAACAGCAGCATCTCCGTTACCCATCTCTGACCCTGTGCTGTGTCTAGGGATCAGGACAGCCACAACAGCAGCAGCATCTCTGCCCTGTGCTGTCTCTAGGGATCAGCAACAGCAGCAGCAGCATCTCTGACCCTGTGCTGTGTCTAGGTATCAGCAACAGCAGCAGCAGCATCTCTGACCCTGTGCTGTGTCTAGGTATCAGCAACAGCAGCAGCAGCATCTCTGACCCTGTGCTGTGTCTAGGTATCAGCAACAGCAGCAGCATCATCTCTGACCCTGTGCTGTCTCTAGGGATCAGCAACAGCAGCAGCAGCATCTCTGACCCTGTGCTGTGTCTAGGTATCAGCAACAGCAGCAGCATCATCTCTGACCCTGTGCTGTCTCTAGGGATCAGGACAGCAGCAGCCGCTGTTCGTGGACCGTGACGGGACGATGTTCCGCCACGTGCTGGCCTTCCTGCGGGATGGGGCGCTCAGCCCCGGCCTGCAGGGCCCCGAGCTGCGCTCGCTGGGACGCGAGGCCGTCTTCTACGAGCTGCACGCGCTGGCGCGGGCCGTGCAGCAGGCAGAGGTGGCGGGCGCGGGACCTCCCTGGTCATCGTTAGCAGCATCAGCACCATCAGCAGCATCAGCAGCATCACCGTCATCACTATCATCATCACTATCATCGTCATCACTGTCATCACTATCATCATCATCACTATCATCACCATCATCGTGAACACAATCATCACTGTCATCGTGAACACCATCATCACCATCATCATCAGCAGCATCAGCAGCATCAGCAGCATCGTCATCATCATTACTATCATCACCATCATCGTCATCACCATCATCATCATCACTATCATCACCTTCATCGTGAACACAATCATCACTGTCATCGTGAACACCATCATCACCATCATCATCAGCAGCATCAGCAGCATCACCATCATCGCCATCATCGTCAGCACTATCATCACCTTCATCGTGAACACAATCATCACTGTCATCGTGAACACCATCATCACCATCGTCACCATCATCAGCACCATCAGCACCATCATCACCATCATCGTCAGCACCATCATCATCGTCATCATCGTCAGCACCATCATCGTCATGTCCCCTCCTCCCCGTGTCTTCACGCCCCGTGTCTCCGCGTCCCTGTGTCTTCCCGTCCACTCCCCGTGCCCCCCCCTGTCTCCCCCTGTCTCCCCGTGTCTCCACGTCCCCGTGTCTCCCCGTGTCCCCCCTGTCTCCCCCTGTCTCCCCGTGTCTCCCCGTGTCTTCACGCCCCGTGTCTCCACGTCCCCGTGTCCCCCCGTGTCTCCCCGTGTCTCCCCGTGTCTCCACGTCCCCGTGTCTCCCCGTGTCTCCCCATGTCTTCACGCCCCGTGTCTCTGTCTCCCCGTGTCTCCCCGTGTCTTCACGCCCCGTGTCTCTGTCTCCCCGTGTCTCCCCGTGTCTCCCCGTGTCTTCACGCCCCGTGTCTCTGTCTCCCCGTGTCCCCCCGTGTCTCCCCGTGTCTTCACGCCCCGTGTCTCTGTCTCCCCGTGTCCCCCCGTGTCTCACCGTGTCCCCCCGTGTCCCCCCGTGTCTCCCCGTGTCCCTGCGTGTCTCCACGTCCCAGTGTCTCCCCGTGTCTTCACGCCCCGTGTCTCTGTCTCCCCGTGTCTCCCCCTGTCTCCCCGTGGCAGGCTGCGTCGCGGTCCGAGCTGCTCGAGGTGCGCTTCTCGCTGCAGGAGGGCGGCGCCGCCTTCTTCCGCGTGTTCGGCTCCCGCGCCGACTCCGTGCTGGAGCTCGCGGAGCGCGTCCACGTCTCCAGCGAGCACGAGCACGAGCAGCAGCAGCACCTACACATGCACCAGCAGCAGCACCACCCGGTAACAGCAGCAGCAGCAGTAGTAGCACCACATGCACCAGCAGCAGCACCACCTGGTATCAGCAGCAGCAGTAGCACCACATGCACCAGCAGCAGTAACACCCGGTAGCAGCAGCAGTAGCACCACATGCACCAGCAGCAGCACCTACACCTGCACCAGCAGCAGCACCACCCGGTAACAGCAGCAGCAGTAGCACCACATGCACCAGCAGCAGCAGTAGCACCACATGCACCAGCAGCAGCAGCAGTAGCACCACATGCACCAGCAGCAGCACCACTTGCAGCAGCAGCAGCACCTACACCTGCACCAGCAGCAGCACCACCCGGTAACAGCAGCAGCAGTAGCACCACATGCACCAACAGCAGCAGTAGCACCACCTGCTAATCACAGGAGCCCACTCGCCACCCTGTCGTTGTAAGCCATCTGCTGCCCAGTTATCAGCACCTTCACTGCATGCAGAGCCGTCCCTCGGGGTACGGTTGACTACGTACGGTGCGAAGGAAGTTCAACACAACAACGGACATCGCGACTCTGCGCCCTTCCTCTGTGTTCACCCGTGTGCCTCCATCTCTGCGCCCCCCCCCGCTACCCCCCCCCCCCCGCTCCCCCGCCCCTCCGTTTCCCCCTCCTTCCCCCCCCCCGCTACCCCCCTCCCCCCGATACCTCCGCCACCCCCCCCCGCTCCCCCCTCAATCCCCCCTCCCCCCCCCGCTACCCCCGCCCCTCCGTTTCTCGCTCCCCCCGCTCCCCCGCCCCCCCCGCCCCTCCCACCCACCTCGCTCTCCCTCCCCCCGCTATCACCTCCCCTCCCTCCCCCCTCGCTCCCCCCCCCCGCTCCCCCCCCCGCCCCTCCCGCCCCCCCCCCGCCCCTCCCACCCACCTCGCTCTCCCTTCCCCTCCCCCGCTATCACCTCCTCCCCCTCCCTCGCTCTCTCCCCCCTCCCCCACCCGCTGCTCGCCCCTCCCACTCCCCCGCTCCCCCCGCCCCTCCCCCGCTCCCCCCTCCCCCCCTGCTACCCCCGCCCCTCCTGCTTCCCCCCCTTCCCCCCCGCTCCCCCCCCCCCGCCCCTCCCCCCCCGCTCTCAGAGCTGGGCCGGGTGGCCGCTGCAGGCGGCCCCGACGTGGTCATCGTCGGGGCCAGCCGCCAGCCTGGAGCGCGTGTCCCTGCAGAGGCCCTCGCACCACGACTTCGTGTTCCAGTGCGGCCCGGCGCCCTCCTCCACTGGCGCCAGCTTCGTGAGGTCGGCCACGACCTCACCAGATTCACTCAGCTGTTCAAGTCCAGCGTGCTTCAGCCGCACCGAAAACTCACGAAATAATATGAATGGCCTAGCTTGGCTCCTGCCACCCTCAACCAGTATATATACAAATACGGTGTTCTTGGAATTTCTCTCACTTCTAGATTTGAAGCTTTCGTGACTGCAAGGATTCATATTCTTAGGTTTTTTCGGTAAAGTCACGTAGGTAAAACATTAACATTAATAAAAGTAAAATAAAATAAAAATCACGACGTTTCGGAGGCAGCACAAGCTTCCGTCTTCAGGTGGAACCGTCACAGCCACGACAGCTGTATCAAGTAAATGAGAGATTGCTGGAGCTACCACTCCGTTTATATAATGGTTGGAGAGGGGGGGGAAAGGCCAAGTACGGCACACTTTTTATTCATATGGTAAGGTGAGGCTTAAGACTAGAATAGACTGCATAAGGCTGAGCCTTTGTTATGGAGAGGTACGGTTTGTGACTCAACCTGTGACAAGGAGACAACCATTAAACATGGTAAACCTGTAATAGTCTGTCAAATAAGATACAGCTATCGTGCTGTGACGGTTCCACCTGAAGACGGAAGCTTGTGTTGCCTCCGAAACGTCGTGATTTTTATTTTATTTTTATTAATTTTAAATTTTTTACCTACGTGACTTTACCGAAAAAACCTAAGAATATGAAAACTTGTTTCTGACAAGGGACATTTGGATATTCGTAACATCATTCGCGGGCCATACAAGATTCTCAACTTAAAAATTAGCCCGTTATATTTCGTGGAACATTTAATTAACTCACCCCTAATGTGATGGCTGGAACTGCTTCTCTTTGGCGAGGCGTGTGATGTTAGCTGGTATTGATGATGTTGCTGCTACTCGCAACTGCTTTGCCAGGTTTGCTCCTAGATTTATTGAATTTCGAGTCCCGTCTGCGGTTGCCTTGGCAGGGCCCACACCAAATGATTTTGCGGGCTTTATACGGCCCGCGGGCCGGACGTTGCCCACCCCTGTGTTAAACTGTGAACATTTACTTATTTAATTCTACCAGAAGCTCATCATCATCATCACGTGGCAAAATGTATAGCGGCCAAATTACTCGAAACGCGTGGTGATGTCGATTCTAAACGTGGAGCGAAAACCCGGAGGACCCGGAGAAAAATCCACGCGACCAAGGCGAGAGAGAGACACCGCAGACTCCAAAACTACAGCAGGCGTCGTCAGGGTTGAGATCGAACCCACGACCTCCTGCACACCAGGCGAGGGAGTTAACATCTCCGAACCACCGTGATAATGATGAGAGAGAGACACGCAAACTCCAAATTTGCAACAGGTGTCTGGGTCGAGATCGAACCCACGACCTCTTGCATACCAGGCGAGGTAGTTAACATCTCCTAGCCACCGTGATGATGATGATAATGAGAGAGAGACACGCAAACTTCAAATATACAGTAGCAGGCGTCAGGGTTGGGATCGAACCCACGACCTCCTGTGTACCAGGCGAGGTAGTTAACATCTCCTAGCCACCGTGATGATGATGATGATGAGAGAGAGAGACACGCAAACTTCAAATATACAGCAGCAGGCGTCAGGGTTGGATTTTTCAACCGCGTCCTCCGGGTTTGTTTCCCTTCACACATTTAGAAACAACTTTCGTTCAGAGTGTTTGGCTGCTATACATTTCCACGTGACGATAAACCACTTTGACGGGCTCGCATTTGTGGTCACCTGGTCGCTTCTGAAAAATAAGAGCTCTACGGCTCCAGTGGGCCTTAAACACGTGTTATTCTTTGGTTCTTTTGGTAAAGTCACGTATAAAGATAAAATAATAAATTAAATTAAATACTAGCATACGACGTTTCGATTGCAACACAAGCAATCATCATCAGGTATAAATTAAATAGAAACACAAATCTATTATTTTATATTTATACGTGACTTTACCGAAAGAACCAAAGAATAATTCCTGCAGTCACGAAAGCTCCAAATTAAGCTTAAACACGTGGTCAGATAAAATATTTTTTAAAAATCGTGACCACGGTGCAAGCAGCAGGGGCGAGTCACACGTGGCGCCGGGAGATGTCGCCACTCGAATCCGGCAGGCCGCCCCGGGTTAATGCTGCCCGTTTATTTAACGGCGAAAATGTCACGTGACCGCCTGGCATCTTCGCAGTATGGACGTTGAAAGATTTGCGTGAGGCCATTCGAAGGTGAGTCATTGACCTCTTGTATTTCCTCTTGTTGTTGTTGTTGTTGCTGCTGAGTCACGTGCGGTTTTGTTGTTGTTGTTAATCGTCACCGTCCAGGTACGTGTCGATCGAGCCCGATCAGCGACGACTGACCAATGGGGTGAACGTGCTCGGCCTGCTCATCGACACCGTCCTCAGGGAGGGCTTCCGATTGGTCGCCGCGCGCACCGCCTCGCTCGACGACAGGGTCGAGTGCTACACCTTTGAGCGAGGTCACCCAATGGGAGGCCAGCATCACGGCGACAAGGCAACGGCGGCGGGGCACGAGCAGCCAATCGGAGGGCACGGCAAGGCAGCCAATGGCAAGCCGGCGAAGAAGTAGCCGTTGGGGGTAGGTTTGGTGGAGGGGGACTTTCTCTTGACCTCTGAGTCCGTGTCTCCGCATGGAATTGTAGAAAGTAAAGAAGACCTATCACAACGTAAACCAGCGCCAGCCCCCACCCCCCTCCTCCACCACCAATGGCCTTCTGGGAGTGCATAATTTGAGCAGAAGTTGAAAAGCTATCAGCTATTTAAACTCTAAACTACATCTTGACTTAACGCTTTCGTGACTGCAGGGATTTATATTCTTGGTTCTTTCGGTAAAGTCACATAGAAGGGAAATAATTAAATAATATTAATATTAAACAATAAACGTCGTGAGAATTTTATTGTTTTATATTTATTTTATTATTTCCCTTTCACGTAGATAGGTTTAACTTATCTACGTGACTTTACCGAAAGACCCAAGAATACTAGAAACTATATTTTATGTTTTTACCAGGTAAGCCCCCACTGAGGTTTCTAGCTCAAGCGACCTGGCAGTCACAAATGATTGCTCAACGAAGTGGCTCATCAATCACGTAGAAATGTATAGCGGCCAAGTTACTCTCAACGCGTGATGTTGTTTCTACATGTGGAGGGAAAAACCAGAGGACCCTGGAGAAAAATCCTCGCGACCACGTGGAGAAAGAGAAACACGCAAACTCCAAATATACAGCAGCAGCAGGCGTCAGGGTCCGAATCGAACCTACGACCTCCTGTGTACCAGGCGAGGTAGTTAACATCTCATAGCCACTGTGATGATAAGAGAGAGAGACACCGCAAACTCCGAATATACAGCAGCAGGCGTCAGGGTCCGGATCGAACCCACGACCTCCTGTATACCAGGCGAGGTATTTAACATCTCCTAGCCACCGTGATGATGATGAGAGAGAGAGACACCGCAAACTCCGAATATACAGCAGCAGGCGTCGGGTCCGGATCGAACCTACGACCTCCTGTGTACCAGGCGAGGTATTTAACATCTCCTAGCCACCGTGATGATGATAAGAGAGAGAGACACCGCAAACTCCGAATATACAGCAGCAGCGGGCGTCAGGGTCCGCATCGAACCCACGACCTCCTGTGTACCAGGCGAGGTCGTTAACATCTCCTAGCCACCGTGGCGCCCTCCGTGCTAGGGAAAGGCCTACGGAAGTGGTTATCCCAGAACCACATCTGACACAGCAGGGGGCGACACATTGCCACCCGCTGTGCCCCGACCCCAATGCCCGTGCCGTGAGGGTCACGGGCCGACGTTTTGAAATCGCAGAGAAGGAATTTGGAGCCGAATTAAATTGCCGAACAAAAATGTTATTCATCGTGATAATATTCTGTGTATGTGTGTGTACAGCTATTGATGAGCAGGCTAAGACCATTAACTCACTCCACTTGAGAACCCAGTTTTATTGTCATTATCATCATTACGCTTGTTTCTAAAAAACTATTTTTTATTTTACCAGATAAGGCCCACAGAACTACGATGTAGCGGAGTGAGTGGCTGGGTAGTGGAGTGTGTGGCTGGATAGTGGAGTGAGTGGTTGGGTAGTGGAGTGAGTGGCTGGGTAGTGGAGTGTGTGGGTAGTGGAGTGTGTGGGTAGTGGAGTGTGTGGCTGGGTAGTGGAGTGTGTGGTTGGGTAGTGGAGTGTGTGGGTAGTGGAGTGTGTGGGTAGTGGAGTGAGTGGCTGGGTAGTGGAGTGTGTGGCTGGGTAGTGGAGTGAGTGGCTGGGTAGTGGAGTGTGTGGGTAGTGGAGTGAGTGGGTAGTGGAGTGTGTGGGTAGTGGAGTGTGTGGCTAGTGGAGTGTGTGGCTGGGTAGTGGAGTGTGTGGCTGGGTAGTGGAGTGTGTGGCTGGGTAGTGGAGTGTGTGGGTAGTGGAGTGTGTGGGTAGTGGAGTGTGTGGGTAGTGGAGTGAGTGGCTGGGTAGTGGAGTGAGTGGCTGGGTAGTGGAGTGAGTGGCTGGGTAGTGGAGTGTGTGGGTAGTGGAGTGTGTGGCTGGGTAGTGGAGTGAGTGTGTGGGTAGTGGAGTGTGTGGATCACCTCCGAGATGTTAAGTGGAACAATCCCATGTCACAAGGTTTTGCTCACAGGGCCAGTTTGCACGCACACACACGGGCGCACATTTGTCCATTTATTTGTGAAAAAAATCCGTCGTGCACAATTGTGATAACGGCACAAATAGCGGCTGAATCTTTCCTCAAATTTAACCAAACTTTAAAAAAATGTTTCCACTCCCTGCGGTGCGGGGAGGCGCTTTTCGCAGTGCGGCGGGTTTCGTGATGAACGCGTCTGATTACGCAAACAACCAGAAATAATTTCAAATATGTTTTTTGAGGGGGCGATGTTTTATAAATATCCAGGCAGTCCTCGGTCCCGATTATCGCCACACACACACACAAAACAAGAATATCCTGCAAATGTGTTCATCAAAACCCTGAGCATTTCAACCTTTCTGAGCTAAAAATGCTATTCTAGATTTGAAACTTTCGTGACTGCAAGGATTCATACTCTTTGTTTTTTTCGGTAAAGCCACGTAAGTAAAAAATAAAATAAATGAAAACAACTAAATTAAATCAACAAAAAATACAAACATTTGTTTTAATTAAATACATGTTCATACATGACAATGTTCTACAATACACACGCGGTGCACGTACATACACGAACTGCTTGTATTCGTGTACAAAACGCAGGTTAATTTGCGTGTTAATGTGCACGCTTATCCCTGCGTTGTTTTTGCGCTGACGGCCTTTGGATTGGAGGGGAGATGAGGTCACGTGGCCCTCAACAGCTGCTAAGGTGGCATCGTTCTAGTAATAGGTTTTTACCCTTTCAACTGGTACAAAAACTGACACCTTTATACAAGGGATCATGTTTGCAATAACCACAACACAAGCAGTCAAAATGCAAACAAAAAGAAACAACTCTTGCATGACTACCGGCGTATCCATGACTACCGGCGTATCCATGACTACCCGGCGTGCCCATGACTACCCGGCGTATCCATGACTACCCGGCGTATCCATGACTACCCGGCGTGTCCATGACTACCGGTGTGTCCATGACTACCCGGCGTGTCCATGACTACCGGCGTATCCATGACTACCTGGCGTATCCATGACTACCCAGCGTGTCCATGACTACCTGGCGTGTCCATGACTACCGGTGTGTCCATGACTACCGGCGTGTCCATGACTACCTGGCGTATCCATGACTACCCAGCGTGTCCATGACTACCTGGCGTGTCCATGACTACCTGGCGTGTCCATGACTACCGGTGTGTCCATGACTACCCAGCGTATCCATGACTACCGGCGTGTCCATGACTACCCGGCATGTCCATGACTACTCGGCGTCTCCATGACTACCCGGCGTGTCCATGACTACCGGCGTGTCCATGACTACCGGCGTGTCCATGACTACCCGGCGTGTCCATGACTACCAGGCGTGTCCATGACTACCCAGCGTATCCATGACTACCCGGCGTATCCATGACTACCCGGCGTATCTATGACTACCCAGCGTATCCATGACTACCCGGTGTTCGATTCCCGCTCACGGCCAACACCAGTGACGATCATCTGAACCGGTCCTGGGCCTCCCCTAGGTCGACTCAGCCTGAAATGAGTACCTGGCGCGGCGTGTAGTAAACATCGCCACCGGGGAGACAAAGGCGGCCGGGCGTGGTGCTGTCCACCCACCCCCCTTGTGTACCGTTCCGGGTCTTCGTAGCCGCTCGCTAACAGCACTTGCCCCAACAAGTCCGTGAAGGCTACACGGGGGATCTTTGTCTTTGTGTCCGTGAGTCTGCTCAGCAGCGGCAGTCGTGAGCACCCTGCCCTCGTGCTGCAGCACATCACGCTCTGGCAGAGCCAACGCCAAACAGATCGTGTTGTGCTGCTACACCAGAGGCCGGTTTTCGCCTGCCCGCTGCTGAGCGAGATGACGCGTTCACTCCACGCTTGTCCGCTTGCCCGCTTCGCCTCCCACCTGCTCACTATGGGTCAACACCATCAACACACACATATATATATATGTCTTCTTGGGTCTTTCGGTAAAGTCACGTAGAAGCGAAGTAATAAAATAATAATAAATACTATTATTTTATTACTTCCCTTCTACGCGACTTTACCAAAAGAACCAAGAAGATGAATCCCTGCAGTCACGAAAGCTTTAAATCGAACATCTTTAGCTCCTCCAGTGTCCATGCCGGGGAGGGTACAGGCTTTTTTAATCCACGTCTTGTTTTTTTAAATTCAATCAGGGTAAAGCCTGCGTGCATAGCGGCTTGCATCGACGCCTGAAATTCGCGCGGGTGGCTACGTACGGTGCGAAAGAAGTCCCACGTACATGCAACGTACCTACGATGCGCCGCGTGTTGCCTCGGACGCGAGACGGGGGAGGGCTCAGGGCGACAAAACCCCGTCGTTGTACCGTACTTCTATGCTTGCCACGGACCCGCACGGTGGCGTGGGAGAGGCCCTCATCCAGCAGTGGATTGACACACGTGGGATGGAGGGGCCCGAGGGTCGTGGGTTTGATGTATCGGTGATTTGATGTATCGGTGATTTGATGTATCGGTGATTGGTGCCCCACTCACTTCCCCTGGACGCGATCGCCCTTCTGAGACATCGTCCTCCCAACGCAGCGACTGCACGCACACACACAGCAATAGATAGTGCATTGTATGATGACCACACATACACACACACACACAGCAATACATAGTGCATTGTATGATGACCACACACACACACAGCAATACATAGTGCACTGTATGATGACCACACACACACACAGCAATACATAGTGCATTGTATGATGACCACACACACACACAGCAATACATAGTGCACTGTATGATGACCACACACACACACAGCAATACATAGTGCATTGTATGATGACCACATACACACACAGCAATACATAGTGCATTGTATGATGACCACATACACACACACAGCAATACATAGTGCACTGTATGATGACCACACACACACACAGCAATACATAGTGCATTGTATGATGACCACATACACACACACAGCAATACATAGTGCATTGTATGATGACCACACATCTACACACACACAGCAATACACACGCGCATTGTATGATGACCACATACACACACACACAGCAATACATAGTGCATGTCTATGGGTGTAGGTCTATGGGTCTCTGTGTAAGTCTATGGGTCTCCGTGTAGGTCTATGGCTCTCTGTGTAGGTCTATGGGTCTCTCTGTAGGCATATGGGTTTTTCAACATGTCTATGAGTCTCTATACAGCTCTATGGGTCTCTGTGTAACCTAATTTAATCGTTTGTGGCAAAACCAAACAGACTCGGCATCTCCCCTGACCTACCAAGAGGTGTGCACGTAGCCTAGGATTAATTAGCATGCATGCATGGGTCCATTACTGATATCTTAATTCAGTGTTAAGTAACGTAGCAATCCACTGCACTAAGAACATAATCCGTCTAGGCACGGGAAGCTGACCGGGTCGTTCGTCCGTAGAGAGCACATTAGATTTTGTAGCTCGACGCTCGAGTCAAAGTTTCACGTCACCAACGCAATGGGCGCGTCTCTAGCGGTGGACCCGATCGAGTGTAGGGAATTCCACGTTACTGTGACAGGGACCATCTCGCCACGGTGGCGAGATGTTAAGCGAGCTCGCCTGGATACGCAGGAGGTCGTGAGTTCGATCCCGACGCCTGCTGTATATTTGTATTCTAGATTTGAAGCTTTCGTGACTGCAAGGATTCATACTTCTAGTTTTTTCGGTAAAGTCACGTAGGTGAAAAATGACAAAACTAAGAGTATGAATCCTTGCTGTCACGAAAGCTTCAAATCTAGAATTAATACCCTCTACGGGGAGGAATTTCACCTATCTGTCATTTTTTACCTACGTGACTTTACCGAAAAAACTAAGAGTATGTATATTTGTAATTTGCGTGTCTCTCTCTCTCTCTCCATGATCACGTGGATTTTTCTCCGGGTTCTCCGGATTTCCCCCCTCCACATTTAGAATCGACGGGCGTTCAGACTATTTGGCTGCTTTAGACTTCCACGTTGATAAGCCACTTGGTTGAGCTATCACTTGTGGCCAAGTCGCTTCTCAACAAAGAGCATCAGAGCTCAGTGGCGCCTTACCTGGTAAAATAAAAACTAGTTGCGTTTACACTATGAGACACCTCCTGTGGCAAAATATAGTAATAGGATTTTACCCTTTAAACTGGTACAAAAGCTGACACCTTTGTACAAGGCATCATGTTTGCAATAACCACAACAGAAGCAGTCAAAATGCAAACAAAAA